GGAATGTTGCGAATTAAATGTTAGCCATAGAAATAAGGAAGTTGTCAAAAAGTGTAGTAATAGAGTCCAGTCATATTGGGTAAAAAATACCCCTCTTCCTGCAAATAATTCCCTAAACGGGGAAACTTTACATGTGTGTAGTAGTAGACTAACACCCGGTAACAACGTAAAAAAATCAACATTCTTGATTTTGAATTTTTCAAAAAAAAAAAAAAAAAAAAACTTTACAGATAGAAAAAAAATCAAGGACTAAAACGATGTATTTCGTATGTTCTTTAACTTTTGTTTCAACAATATTTATGTATTTTATCAAATAAAATACAAAATAATAATACAAAAATTTTGTTCAAGTTAGTGTGGTGTTTGTGTTTCTTACTATACGAATATCCAAAGATTGTTGAATGTTCGTTTGATGGTATGTTTAGTGTTTATCGTATGTCTTGTGTTTTTAAGCGGGGGTGAGATAAAATATACTTATTATTATGTTCTTTAGGTCCGTGATGTAGGTATTATTTTGCGTGTCTTCGAAGAACGCAGAACGGGAGTGTTGCTAAAACTTAAATCTGAGTAGGTCAAATAATAGTCAAATAATAGATACAGTGCTATTAATAACTGAAACTGCATTGGCAAACTAATGTGGAAACACTCCAAAATAATAAAATAATACCCCCGCTACAGCAAACCTGCAGACTAAGTGAATTTAAATTCGCTTAATAGAAATCATCCAAAAACATTTCCATAAACAAGGCAAATTTATTTCCCATTTGGATAACATTAGATTTAACGAGTCCTTAGGTTTGCTGCTATGGGAAAGGTAAAGTTGGTCTTTTTCGACCAAGTTAATAAACGGCGAAATAAATACAATAGTTTCGCAATTGGAGTTTCGCAATAACATGAAAAATTTTTGTTAATTTTTCAAAATTTTATCCGTAACCAATAACCACACAAAACACCTCAATATACATCATACGTTTTTTAACTCTTCAAAATGGTTTAAAGAGAAGTCATTTTAGGTCATGCTGGTTCACAAACGCATTCAACATTCAAGTTTAAACCGCCGTACACTCTCAAGTCAAATTTCATTAAAATCGGGACAAATTTATTTAAGGGTATCGTGTTCACGCACGCACACACATGAGCAAAATCATAGAGGTATTTATGTGCCCGAAAGATTTGCATTATTTTAAGACACGAATACAATAGGTGTTTTGAGGACGGGTTCATACAGCACGTGGCAAGTCTGAGATCAGCTGAATCTGAAACCCAGCATCAACGCGAGGCCTCACGTGTAGATCATGTGACCGAGTGACCTTGGCGGCTTGTTGTGGATCTTCAACAGTAACATCGGCCAACTACACCACACGTAGCGGTCAGCGACTTATCACAACTTGTGATAACTAGGACCTGAGATATCTCCTGATTTAAAATGTAAGCCATCACAATGTAAACATTTAACGTTCATTTGTCATTTGTCCGAGGTTGGATGTATCATCAACTCTGTATCCGTCAAATGTTCTATTAGGAGGTTGATGCAAGCGGCCACGTTCACGTTCCCTTCAGCCACTCACAGTTCTTCATCTTACTGGTGGAATTAAATTTTAAATTTAGATAAATTACCAAAGTTAACCAAACAACAGAAAACACTACAAAGGAATGTTGATACACATTGTAAATTACATGATAATATGGTAATGCACAGGTGACCGCACTATGAATAATCATTTTAAAAATGCACTTCATCACACCGAACTGTAACCAAAACTACATCATAATTCGTTAAGATACGATATAAGGTAAATAAATTCAACTATTACAAACAATTTGTTGTTAAGTCATGCTAGGAAACTCTTTATTCATGAACTAGACTTAGCTAACAGATGTATAAAAACTAGTAGCTTGCAGGGACAGAAGTCCCTAAAAAGCTCAAATGTAAAACGAACTACTGTAATATTTAAACAAACTAAGAATCAAATGATCTTTGGGTCACGATAGATATTCATTTACACCATAACTTATGTTTTGTAAGAAAACATGAAAAAAGTTTGTTTTGTTTGTTGTTATTTTTCAAAAAATAATTTAACTTCTTCAAGACTTGACCTCTGCTTAAGGCAAAAAACGTATCGCACTGTTTGTAAATAAATACTGGCTTACTAAAGTAGCTCTTTTGTTCTTGTGGTAATGATGAGAAAAAATGCTTCCCCGATAGTAATTTTTGGGAAATTGTCTTTGTAAAATTAAAAAAGACATATAAGTGTCTATTGATATTTAAGCTTGGTTATTGGTACTAAACACCACATTAGCACTCTGCCCCAGTTATTATTTTTAATCATTTTTATCCTTTTGTAAGAACAAACAAAGTTACAGCACAGTCTTTGACCAATTTAAAACAGGACCGTCTGGTCTGATGGGATTTAGAGTTCGGATGTAGGCCTGATTTGAATGTAGAGCTTTAAATAATTCATGTTTGACGTAATTTGGACTACTGACATATGTAAGCCTAAAAAGTCAACTCAGTTAGTTTCATAGTTTTCAGAAAGATTTGTACAAGGAATAATTTTGTGAAATAGAGGAGTAAACCGAAGGGGCAGAAGGAGGGCGACTAGTAAGCTCTGTAAACCACCCTTTAAATCCTTTTCTGTTTGGCTCATAAATTGATGCAATAATATCAATGAATTGATGTCATGACACTGAAAGTTTTAAATTTATAAATTAGTATCAAACCTATATACAGTACTTAATTCAATAAGGGGTTTCCCTGTTATCCCTTCCTGTGTGTGGTTGTATCCCTTTTCCAGGCGACCAGACGTCACGTCCTACTTAACTGATTTTTACGATAGAGGTGTAATTTTTAACCCTACAAGTTATAACATATTTATGGTTATTTAGGTAATTTAACCTACCCAAAAGTATATAGCTGTATAACCTTGACAATATTTTTTTCTCGATTATAACAGTAGTATCACTGGACGGGTAGTGTCTGAGGCTGCGTCGCTAGGGCTTCAGTCAAGGCCTCAACCGGTTGGTTATGTCAACTAACAGGATTTGTAGCTTAGGAATATATAAATGACGTGTGCAACGTAACTGTATTTTGCCAAGTTCAGTGTCATTACATAAACTTTAAAATACTGTTACCGGGAGCAAAAGAGTTTCTTCCCTGAAACTTATGACCTTAGTTAGTTAGTTGACCATTAACAAATAAGCCTTAATATTTTGTACTAATCCGTATGTGTTCCGGACTTCTAAAATTATGGATGAAGTAGAGATCGGCCTACCTGTTAAAATAAAAAAAAACAGTTACCATATACATGCAGAGTTGTAGAATGTCTAATTGCATAAAGATTCCAATAGTCAATGATATTAGGGAGTTGAAGAATTAGTGACTAATGTATATAGGGCTTTGACCTTCAAATTTTGAGTTGATATAGATAACCTTTGATCCATGTAGGATTAGTTTTTTCATGTGTCTCCTAACATGCTTAGGCAATTGTTAGTCTCCAGATTAGGCCTACGTTTTGCGTAGCCATAACTGTTGAAACAGTAGTTTGTAGTCATCATACACTGAGTACATGTAATTGTAACAGCAGAAATTAAAAAAAGCCCCTGGGGCAATGAATACAAAATTTTGTTTTCATTGCCGTGGCAGAGCGACCGGCGCACAATGGGTGTGCCAATTGACGGGATTTTTGCGCTGCGCGTAGTGTATGTGCCCGGATCCCAAAAAGCGTTGTTTCTGAAGAGGTTATTCGGTTGAAGGGAGTAGTGAGGTTCGAGCTCACGAATCTCTACTATGACTCCCGAAATCCAAAACTTGCAAAGGCTTTAAATACTTTCAACCACATACTAATTTTGATTTATTTTTTAATCTTCTAAATATTTTTGGGTCATCATTTTTAAGCTCCCCCTCCTGCGGAGTGCGGATTGGGGCAAACGTGCAAAAATGTATAGGTATTGTCTCGTAGCTATATTTTATTTTTCTTTAGGTAATTGAATTCACAAAATATCTCTGGAATAAACGCGTTACAGTTTTACAATATACTGCTGATCTCCGTAATGGTAATCTTGTCCATTTCCTGCGGTTTGGCTAGAACGCGTGTGGTCAATTGTGTCGTACCCGCCTCGCTCTATACAGTACATTAGTGTTGCCGGTTAGTGGTTATTTTAGGAGTACATGTCTGTTCTCATTGTGTACCTCAGTTTTGTGGCATTCCTCCAACGACCAGCTCATTGTGTAATAGCAAAGCCCCTCTCTGCGTCATGATGTGTTACATGACACATTCAGCTGGATGGTTGTATAGTTGTAGTTCTAACCCCTGTCCTAGTAGGAAGATAGGTCAATATTTGTATCAAAATAAGAATGCAAATTTTGTCAAGAAATTTTAAATTTACAATATTTTTTTAAAAATACTTTCTCTTTAACTATTATTAAGCTCATAACAATTCATTAATATACCAAATTATTTTTTTTCTAAGCTCTGCAAAATGGTTTAGAAAGAAATAGCAAAATGTTTATTGGAACAATTCGGAAACCCCGATTTCTGCCCTATAACAACAAACCCTAATAAGCCCCGCTACGTACAATTATAGTCCGATTGTATTGGTTCGCAAACCTGTTCGAATACATTGGTTTATAGGTTTATACACAGGTTTATAAGCTAAAGCTATTGCGTTAACGGACAGCTTCTGGCTTTACGCACTTATGTACAAAATATAAATATGTGCGAATTTGAACGAAGGCTTTTTACATTGGTCCAGGTCTTACTATAAGAACTACTGTAAAATAGCTTATTCCCTATATGGGGATTTCGTCTAAACAGACGAAATAAGCGCATTCAAGGTTAACCTTACATGAAACTCTCTCTAAATCCAGTTCACATGACAGTCTATTACAGTATCCAAAGTCAATGATAAGACATAACACACCGTGCTACTGTAGACGTCCTGATGTGTATGTCTGTTGCATCGAAGTATATAACACAACATACTTCGATGGTCTGTTGCAGTGAACGCATAGACATGAGTGTAGCAGTGGAGGCGACCGGCGAGCCCTCGCTCACACTGTGGTCTTACCGCTTGTCCATCATGTAAGTCTACTAGTGGTCTATCATAGTCGGGTAAAGGTAATATATTATTTTAATAAAAATAACTAGCTTCAACTGGAACTACTTAAAAATTAGTTGAAGTACTTTTTATAAGGTTTTAAGGAATTATATCGATATCATTACATTAATTTATGGCTTAGTTTTAAACTTATTTGAATGTGTAAATAAATTAGATCTAGTTTGCTAACAATTTCAACAATTAATTGACCTTAACAAAGTTTAGGATGTAAAGGATATTGTATACAAGTTGCTGTGTGTTGTATAGGACGGTGCGGGTGATGAGCGGGTATGTGGTGATAGTGTATCGTCTCCTCGCCGCCGCCCTACACACGGTGCTACAACTGCGCAGTCGCCAGCCTCTTATCAAAGGGCTCTCCGCCATCATCGACCTGGTCTCCAGTGAGTATATCTCATCCATCATAACTTATCTCTTGATTGTAGTGTTATCCTTGTTTTGCCAAATTAGATTATACGGGACAATGGTATACCAATTTTATTTCGATCTCTATCAACACACGTTTTCAACACCTTTGGTTTTTATTATTGTTGTTCATAAGATTATGGGCGGGTTCATTCTACATCACAATACGTTTTATAACATCGCACTGTCTTTGTTGTGTTTATCAGTTTTAATTATAATTTATTCGTAACGGTCTTTATCAATAGTATGTTTGAAATTTTCTAGTATAATTCCTTTGTATCGTTGAACAGGTCAACAGCTTATTTTTATAAAAATCAAAATACTTACTGTGTTTATACAATTCTGATTTTGTAAACATTGTGTAGTTTCATTAAATATGATTTTGCGATCGAAGAATAAAACAAATAGTTAAACTTGTGTAAACTAGAAGATATCAAAATTATACCTAATACAAATACAGTATACTGTTGAGATTTATTGATGCAAAGTTCTAATATTTATATAGAAAGGGTTTTAGGGAAATCGGCTACAATCTGACAATCTTTCGTACAGTCTACTCGGCTACTCAATTAACTTTCATACACACAATTATACTAGGGAAGACATAAAATTTGTTTTTTTAGCGAATTTCCCATATAGGGAATAAGCTATTACCGTAGTACTCATGGTAAGACCTGGACCCGGGACCGATTTTTTTGTTCGTTTTGAGGTCCCTAGAGGCCAAAAACACCATCCTTTCAAATTCATATATATATATATTTATATATATATATATTTATATATATATATATTTATATATATATGTGTCCGTTAGCGCGATAACTCAAGCAAAAATGATCCGATTTTGATTAAATTTGGTACAAACGTGTAAACCTACGTTTATTCGAACGAGTTCACGAACCAGCATGATCAGACCATGGGAACGGGGGTTTATGGGGGGTTTTATGGGGTAAAAATGGGTTTTTCCCATTTTTGACCCAAAAAACATCAAATTTTGCAATTTCTTTCTAAACTATTTTGTAGAGCTTAAAAAAACAAATAATTTAGTATATTGAAGCGTTATAATGCGCCTAATGGTTACGGAGAAAATTCCAAAAAATTGCAAATTTAAAATTCCCATGTTATTCTTATGGAGAATAAGTAAACTGTTGTAGTTTGCTTGTTTATTAACATATTTTGCCCAAATTTGGAACATGTTTTTATTTCTTACTAACAATTAACATTTTACATAAAAAAACACTTTTACCCTCCCTGTTGCAGCAAACCTAAGTATGTGTTAAACTGATTCTATTTAAATAGGGATAAATGTGATATTTTTAAGGAGACATTTTAGTGTAAATCCAATCAGGCAAATGGAAATTCGCTTAGTCTGCAGGTTTGCTGCGGCGGGGGTATTTAGTATGATGCAAAGTTTATTTGTTATATTTAAAGTAGGCCTGTATAAACAAGTGTACCTGCAATTGCTTTTGCCTTCTGTGATATAGATCATAAAGGGGGTTTTAGACTGCTCTGTAAGCTGGGGAGGACAGGCGGACCCAAGACAAAATGTACCATGAACAATTGAACATACCTAGCTAGTCTTGTGTCGGGGTACAGAATATAGAGTATAGTGTCTGCTCGTAAGTCTAGATGCAAATAGGTTCAACTGAAATCAAACAGTGTGTGCCAGCGCCAGCAGTTATACAGAGTTTTTAAAAGGAATGGTGCAACATATATTTAAATATTGCTAATAGGCAAGTATAAGGAAATTAACCATCAATGACATATAGCTAGGGAGGGATTTTAGAGGTCCGAGTGTTTATTTTTTCTGTTTTATTGTTTTATATTATAAGCACTTACAATGTCATCAACACAAGTGGCAAGTCAAACTAAAAATATAGGCTAGCAGATTACGCCTTTTTATGTTACTAAGAACATTTACTTTCACTAAATTATATGGTACCTTTTTATTGTCTATAGGAAAGATCAACTCAAAGCAATAACTTTAAAATCGCAAAATAACTTGTTAGTTACTGTGGTAAAGTGAGTTGTTTTGTAACATTTTGTACATTCTCCTAAATAAGTCATATTATCAGTACTTGTGAAATCCGTAGATTTGCCACTTACCGTGTGAAACGATACTACACTCCAAGGTTGTTGTGGTCCACGAGATAAAAACTCATATTTTAATGATTTATATTCCGTTTTATTATATATATTTAATGAGAAAATGTTCTATAATAGATAATTCACTTGAACAAGTTAAGTGGTTCAGTTTCGAGATATGCGTAATTTTTAATAAATTGGAAAAGTTTTAACTCAATAACTAACTATGTAATATTTGCTGAACGAGCGAAGCAATGCTATTTAGTTCCTTCAGTTTTCAAATACTGGTCGCCACACTCTTAAATGCTGATCGTTGCTTTTCCATGATAAAGGTACTGGCACTGACGATTGCAGACAATTAATTGGTTAATGATTAAGATCCACTAGACTTGCTAAAAAAATCACATCAACCAACACAATTTTTATTTTACATAATTTTTATCTACCGGGTATCCCAAAGTAAAAAAAAAACCATTTGGGATTTGGTTTAATAGGTAAAAAAATAAAAAAAATAACACTTTTTATCTCTCTTATTAGTGAGATATCCACCTTTTTTCTGTTTTATATTTATTAAAAAAAGGATATCTTTGTGAAATTTGTTATACGAGTTAGACTATTAACAGTTATTGTAAGACTCATTAGCTACGGTATCTATAAAAAAATCATCCTTATTTTTTTCGAAGTGGCCGTTATTTTAAGTTTTATAAATTTAATTACAAATAAATAGCTGATTTCGTGAAGAAATTACAAGGCCAATGCATTTAGCAATTTTAATGTCTATTAAACAACACAAAGTCCAAAAAGATCAATTAATAAATATCTGGAAAACTGTGATCTTTGTTTATAACGGACCAGGCAAAATAAGGCCTAGCTGTGGTTAGGGTAAAAATCGTATTTTCTCTTTTAACTTGTTGTTGTTTGATATGAACATTTCAAATGCAAAATAAAAGTATTATTTTTCTTGATAAATTCAGCTATTTAAAATTTTTTTAGATGTAATAATTAAAATAACCACCATTCTTAACAAACAAAATATTTTAAACCATTTTGTTCACAAATCAATCAACTTTATATACAGTTTTGAAAATCATTGTACCACTAAATTTAGAGTTCTACTGGACAGATTTTATTAATTAATGTTGGAAGCTTAATTCGTGTAGATTTGCAAATAATTAATTTATTTATTTTATAACAATAAAAGTTACTAGTATATATTATTTTCTCCATGACAACAAGAATCAATAAATATCATCTAAAGATAAACAAATAAAACTATTAACAATATCAAATAGCTGATAACTAATTTATATTACAAGCACAGTTTTTTGTAGGAAATTTTATTCTCTTTCAGAATATCACCTCCCACTTTAGCTGATTTCCAAAAGTTACTGTCAAAAAAGCTAAGCGACCTCCAAATTAATAGTTGTAAAAAAATACTGAATTAGAGATAATTTTGTATAACTTTGTACGACACTTAACATAACAATAAACTCATATAATGTTATTAAAAACTTACAGAGAATTTTGAAATAATTATTGTTAAATTTAATTCATCTTACTGGAGACATCAAGGTTATACCACGAGTCGGAAGGAAGTCTTAAACGAGAGCATAGGTTGACTATTACTGTACATCAGATTAAAAGGCCTCTCTCTATTATTAGGAAAATAAAGTGCTGCAAACTTGACCCAAAAAGTTTCCTCCTAGCCAAAAAGTCGGAAGTTAAAAATTACAAGTAATAACAACTTAGCTTTATCTACAAGTACAAGTTAGTAAATTTTATACCACCACCGTTTTGGCTAGGATGAACCTTTTGATGTCGCGTTTGCGGCACTGTACGTTTTTACAATAGAAAACTTTAATTAAAAAAAGTTTTTTATTACAAATTAATTTAATTTAAATTCATCCTATGCTCTGATTTCCTTCCGACTACTTGTGAACCGGCCTAGGTATGATGGAAAACTTATATAATGCTTCAAACAGTAGATGTTTAGGTATTTTTTTAGTTCTTAATTAGGCTATATGCTTCCTTCCACCATGGGCTATATGTGCAATGCTCTATTGAATCATCTGCAAAGGTTAAAAAAAATAAAGTGCCTTTCCCAGACCTTTTGAGGACCCTTTTTATATCTACAGGGTGATTACCGAGAAACGCATGTTTTTCAAATAACGAGTACTCAGGTAATTCAGAGCAAAAAATTTATTTATGAGTGGAAAAACAGTGTACACAATATACAATTTCAGAATAAAATTACTTGCAATTTAGCATTTAAAAATTACATTTCTAACGTGGTGGTTAGAGAACATTGATAATTTTACGGGTCGCCTTCTGCTTTGATACAGCGTTGGAGGTGTTCCTTAAAACTTTCTACGGAATTTGCTAACATATCTCTAGGAATGGCGTTGATTTCCTGGCGAATAGCTTCTTAAAGTTCCTGTATTGTTTTTGGTTTGTTTATGTAAACTCTAGATTTAAAAAATCCCCATAGAAAGAAATCTGGAATTTTAAGACCTGGTGAGCGCTCGGCCAAGTGACACCACCAAAACGTGGGATAACTCTTTTAGGTAATGTTCGCCGAAGGAATTCCATTCTAATGCGAGCTGTATGGACTGTTGTCCCATCTTGTTGTAACCATATGTCATTACGTACACGTTGATGGCGCAGTTCCGGCAAGAAATATTCTTCCAACATGTCTAGGTACCGTTGTGGAATCACTGGAGTCACTGTTTTGCCGTCGCGGCTAGGACTCTCTGAGCTGTTGCAAGGCGCACTCTTTCAACTGCCTCAGGGGTACGAACTGTCCTTGCCAGTCCAGGAGGTTTTCTCTTAAGCAGAGATCTAATTGAGTTTTACATTATGTATCCAACGCAATATCGTGTTACGATCAGGGGTAGCGCCATGCCGTGCAATGTTAAAATGTGTATGAAAGTCTCGCTGAGTCTGAGTGACTGATTCACCATTTGCGTAATATCGTCGCATGACAAACATACGATGCTCAAGATCCCACATCTTGGCAAAAATTGAAACTGCACACTTCCCCCTACACATCGCAACAACTTCCGGCCGTCGTCGAACGATATTCCTTGTGTACTACGAAAGTCAAAAGCATGCGTTTCCCAGTAATCACCCTGTACAACCTAGTGTTATTTATCAGCTGTTTCCCCATAATTTAATTTGGATTTCATAAAATCTACTATCCTGTTCTAACACAGGATCACCATCTTGGAACAGTATAACAGTAACAAACGTGTAAGCATTATCATTGATCCCTCTATATGGTTTAGTGCTACAGCTTTCTTGGTAGAATACCGTACTTTAATACTTTTCAATGAAATGGCGACCATACAAAGTAGGTATTTTAAGCCAAGTATGAATGGAGATGAGTGTAGGATGAGTGGCGCGATCTTGTAGTCTTGTTAGTGACTAAGGCCGACTTATTACTTAGACCCAGCTGTTAATTAATAGCCCATACAGCTAATGGCAACTAAGGAACCTACAGTTTATGGTGGGATCCGAACCACATTTTTGCCTTGGTATATACGAATTGGTCTTATTTTCAGGATAGTACTGCGGATAGTCATAGTTCTCGGTACTGCTATGGTCACTTTTGTCTTGGCGGCCTCCTATGATGCTATGATACTACTGAGTTCAATCGAATGCCCCACTTTTTTAACCAAAATAAACTGAAATATCAAAATGTATGTAAATTATAGTATCTTTTTTGTAGGTTACTCTGTGAATTGCTAATTCAAATATGTTCTTTTGTAATACAAATTATTGGCTACAGACGCATGGTTCATTTAGATATGGGATGTATACTTCAGTATCCAAAAGTCAATAGCCCTATACTTCGGTCCATCTCTTTTGTAGAAGGAGTGCTGTACATGCCAGCAAAGAGGATAGACCCACTGCTGAAGAGCTTGAGAGTGTCAACGCTGCGACCGCGGCCACGGGCCATTGAGGCGGCTCCACAGCCAGAGAAGAGTGTTCACTGTGACGTGCTCCATGACCCAGGCGTCGGACTTCGTCATATGGATGTCATCTTTATACATGGACTTAAGGTATCACTAACGAGTCAGTAGCTGTATGCATTTTAGTACTGGATTGACAGCGATAGCAATCGTAAAACCAAAATGTAATCTTCAATGCAAGGCTTGAAACACTGTGTATAAAGTAACAGCCCATTCATACATGTTAGGATATTTTCCAATAAGGTTTGATTACAGTGTAAGAAGTTCCCATACACAGTGTTGCACAAATCGCTCGAGGTAATTGCATTTTAGCAAGGACTTGTGCCCAATGACCCGTTTTTTTACATCTTGGGCTTTGATCCAAACCGTACTTTTAATCTTTTAATGTGACATTTTTACCATTTACCATCACCCTTGAGTGTAGGATAGTGAATGTGTAAATGCTTATTCACTTCACGACACATGTTCAATGTTCACTAAGAGGTTGGGGTTAAGCCATTTATGTTCCAAGACACCCCAAACTTGCGCTGGATACACCACTGTGTACCAGTACAGGAATTTAATATAATGTCTTTTGGATAGTCTAAAATTATTGTAGCTAATTTGTATAATATTGACTTTTGTATTCTGATCTTCTATCAATAGTCACAGGTATAACACAAACTATCTATATATATTACTCTTTGCCCACACAGGGCTCCCTGGAGCGTACATGGAAGCAAGGACTGTGGGACCTGAAAGGCAGAGATACCAGTGGTCGAGTTTTGCTGAGGAAAAGTTCGTCAGCATCATCCATCAACTATCATCAAGTGAATCATATCCATCGACAGTCGTCAGAAACCAACCTGTCCACCATGTGTGCTGAGGAGGAAGACAGTAAGCCACAGGACAGCAGTGGTGGGAGCAGCAGCAGTGGGAGCAGCAAGAGTGGCTTCTCAAGATGCTGGCCCAGGGACTGGCTACCCCAGGACTGTCCGGGAGTCAGAGTCATCGCACTCAACTACACAACTGACCCCTACCTGTGGAGACCCGTCTGGGTGAACAAACGTTGTCGGTAAACAATCAATAAAAAATACTTCGACTCTTTAAGTAAATTTTTTGGTTAAATAAATATTTACAGGGAAAGTATGTTGAAAACACACAAGATTCAATTGAGATTAAACATTAATTTTACAATTCATGTTGTTAGAGAAATTTTTCTTAATTTTCTGTTTATGGAAAACATAAACATGTGTTTTTCTATGCCATTGGCTCAAAACAAATTTTTGGAAGGGAATGATCTAAACCCTGGTGGCTGGTATTGCTATTAACTATATTAACTATAACATCAACATTATGTTAGACAGCATCATTGATTCGATCATAGACAAATGGCATCAGGGTCCAGAATCAATCCCGCTTGGAATCAAACCAACAAACTTTTATCTTCTTTATTAGATAGCAAAACAAAATTCCTTTTGGTCAGTTAAGTAAGTTATTTTCATTTAGTTTACTATTTTTAAAGCAATAGAGATTACTTCCTTATTAATATTGCTTTTTGCTCTTTTTACAGGACGTCAATGAACGACCGAGCCTGGGAGATGATGCAGCACTTAAGTGAGCTTGGCGTGGGAGAGCAGCCGATAGTCTGGGTCGGACACTCCAAGGGAGGACTTTTCGTCAAGCAGATGCTAGTGCATGGTGAGATTGGGCTAAGTTTGGCTTTTGTGTGACTGCTAGCTTTACGCCACTCATCCTACACTCATCTCCATTCATACTTGGCAAAAATACCTACTTTGTATGGTCGCCATTTCATAGAAAAGTATAAAAAGACTTGCTGCCTCACCTTAGTACATTTTTTGCTGGTACTTTATTAGAGTGCTATTGCCTGAATTAATTCTGACTACTAACTGACTATTAAAATCTGACTTCTTTAAATTCTATGATTAGTTTGGTATATTATTGAATTCTTACAGAAAAAGAAGGGAAACAAAAGACTGATTGAATAACAACGACTGATTGAATAAAAAAGCATTGTGAAATAACAAAATTAGAATAATTGCTGCAGACAAGCCATATTGGCTTTTGTGGCTTGAAATTGTATGTGTGTTGTAAATTTGTATTTTTTGGAGAAAAAAAAAATCTGAAAAATTAAATACATTATGCGAATTAATGGAATGAGCATTTATTGTTGTAAAATCAATAAAGTGGCTTCCATCTTTAAAATTGGAAAACACCCTAGGCTACCTCTTTAATGCTGTAGTCTAGTAACTCGTTTGTTTTTTATTTATATTTCAAATTCTTTAAATTTTGAAGATGTGTTACCTGATCTATCTTGAATTTCTAACCATTAAGCATTGATTATAAAAACTATACATACAACTTCCCTGAAAAAATAGCTCTGCTACACTTTTACATATTTTGATGTTGTCAGTTGACAACTAAATAGAGTTTAATGGACAGGGCTGCAGTTATGTCACATTCAAGTTTCAATTTAATCCCAAACCTTTCAAGAGTACTGGAAATATCCCTAAAATAACCACTTTAAATTAGCATAGTATCTTTTCTTTCTTTAATTAATTTTGAATACCAACACAAAGTTTAAAAGTATTTACCAAACCCAAACACCTTTGAAAGATGAATAAAGTAGCAAAATACCAGATCAGATGAATATGAAATATAAAACATGTAATACAATGTCATACAAAAAACTATAGAGAGTATGCTCTTTCACTGACGATCCAGTAGCTATTCAAGTAGCTACAAGACATTTGACTGTAATTGTTTTTTGAGGCTCTGAAATATGGGCCATGGGAGCCAGTACGTGGTAGCAAGCCTGTATAAGATGCAACTTCCGAACTTCAACAGGATTATGTGGGTAGTTTAAGTTTTAATCCTTTCTTTAATGGAGAAATGAGAGTAGTTTGTTGGTATTTTATTTCTCAAAAACATGTCAGGAACGGATAAAATTTGCTTACAGCTTGTGATAGCAGTGATCCCAAGATGGCTGCCCTTGGACAGCAGAGTCGTGGCATTTTGTTCTACAGTGTGCCACATCGAGGCTCACCCCTGGCCAACCTCAACCTGCCTCTGCTGCGACAGTCCATAGAACTCACAGAGGTCCAAAAAGGTACACATCTCAACATTTGAATCAATATTACGATAAAGGGATTAGTTATGGGGCAATGAACTCTGTAAAAATATTACATTCTTTAAATATAAACAACCAGTGAGTAGTGAATTGCAGGCCAGACTTTTTTCCTTTGGGTAGGGTAAACCATTTTGGACTTTTGATCTCAGGCCGAAAGGCCCAAATCTTTTATTCCGACCGAAATCGAGTCACTTTTCAAAGAATTTATTTAAATAAAATATTAATTGTAACGGTACAAATGGTTTATACTATACTAGCCAACCCGTACAAAGCATTCGCACTGAATCCTTCTCAAATCCTACTCATTGAAGTAGGTACACAACATACAGTTAATACTGCGTAGTGCATCGTTGATTTAAGTATGCATCCTTACTTCAAGAATAGATGTGGGTTTACATTTTAGATGATTAACTTTTTTAAATGTAATGTTAAGTTATTTAATTTTTTACGTGTTAACAGGAACACTATGATTGAAGTAATAATATAGCCATATACGATTTTTGTGTTGATAGCTTTGTTTTTACACAGACATATAGATTTCACTGAAAAGCCCAACCTTGACAAAGCCACAACCAACTGAATGTGTAAAAAACGGGGTCCGGCACGTACAATGCTTCCTTCGTTAGCGTCTGTCCATCCCATGTGCCTTATTTAAAGTCATTTTAAGGGAAATTCCTTGTTAGTCAGTTTGAAAGGATTACGGACAATTGCGTAGAACAGTATGACAGTTTAACCGGAGTCAGCCAACTTCGCTTTGATAGTGTAGGTGCCCAAAAGAGCTACAAACAATCTTGGACCCTAGGTTTCTCATCAACTCGATAGAGTTCTTTTTAGCACGGGTTTATGAGGTGACAAAACTAAAGGGCTTAATGAGTTCAAAAACTCTTATGGATACAACAGAGCATTACTTGGTAATGAACCGAATAAAACTGATATGAAACCTTATCATCCTGTCGGTAACATATTTGACACAGCATAACCCAAACCAACGATGATTTAGGACTTTTTATTGAATACCTGTAATAAAGAAAAGATGAGAGGTGATGTTTGACAATGGAATTCTTAAATCCAAATAGAATGGTTGTTAGGTATGTCCAAATGAAGGCTATGTCGTTAATAAAGAAATATAATAGCTAAAGAATCCATGCAGTACTTAATTTTGAATTGTTGTCGTTTAGACTTCTTTAAAGTGAATAGTGTGATTTCATCTCCGGGGTTATTTATAGTAGAAAGCACAGACTATGTATGTTGATCATCATCGATGAAGTAAAAACAAAAACACCCGGAACTGAGAAGTAAATATTCGTTTGTTTTGATTAATTTAATTCGCATGTTTCAGCTGATCAAATAACGTAAATAAACATTCAAAGTTTTAATTACTTGCAGAATTATGTATAACGGATAGTTTTTTTACGAAAAAATACTGAAAACGAGTGATTTGTAATATTTTTCAGATAGTAGGTAAAAAATCTTTAAAATGACAGCTCATTTATGAAAATTGGTGAAGAAATAAGGAAGTTATGGCCTGCTGAAAAAAAAAAAAAACACTTTAGAAATTATGATATATAGATTCTTCATAATTTTTGTCCTGTAAAAATATTATATTTCTGGAAGAATCATTTGTTTTTGTGTTAAAACAGATCTATTAGTTTTTTCTATTAGTTTTAAGTATTATATTTAACCATTGACAATTTCCTGTTATTATGATGTACTGACATGCAATTTCAATAAATAAATAAATAAATCTTTCACTGTCCATAAAGATCATGAACGTCTTCCACAGTCACTGAAAAATCATAAACGTCTTTTGCAACAGCATTACAAATCTTATCACCCGCAATGGTGGTGAAATCGTCCCGGTTTGATCGTGCATTTTCACAGATGCTTTCTGCAATCGCAAAAAATGCAATCGCCTGAAAATTATTTCTAACCCTAACCGATCCTTCGAACCATTTGTTGGCCCTAAAATACAGGTGGTCCGCAGATCCCTCGCAGTAGTAACATTAGCATTATACCAGTGATAGAGACCAAAATATGTGTTTTTGACTTTGTACATTATGTGTCTTTCTTTTGTAAATTCAATATATTTATATTAAATGTTGTTTAGATTCGGCACAAGTGACAGCTCTCCACCAAAAGTTCCGTGAGCTGCTTGAAAGTCAGCAAATCACTGTGGAAGTAAGAAGCTTTATTGAAACAACCCTCACACTCATGTCTCTTGTATATGTTCGTATCGTCAGCGTCGAATCAGCAGGTTAGTTTAAAATGTTCTATGATGTATTTTTCCTTAAAAATTCCTTAAAACGGTTTTTTTATAAAACATTGAGTACGAACCACGAATATACTTGAACAGAACCGGTATGGATCATAATCATAAAAAATGACGTTTTTGGCCCGACACCTAAAATAATCCTACACTAATAGCATTAATTAACATATGGTTTTGTTTACTTTCTTGCCAAAAACCTCATTTGTTTATGTTTATTGCAGATTTTATACGCTATTTATTTAATGATCATTTTTTATAACTTTTCCCAGACCGGACAAAGGATTACTACTTTCAGTTCTTTAATGTACACAGACAGCATTTGTTCAATGTACATCAATACAAACAGTTATAACATAAGCATATGATAGGTTATAGTTTATTAGAATAGGCAAATTTTACGTACCCTAACACTAAAATCACAGGAAGTTTTGAATATAATATTGAAATTGAAATTTTTTTGATTTATAGATGCTGAAGTTGGAGAACTGTACGGAGTTCCAATCGACCACAGAAACATTTGCAAACCCAGGAGTAGGTAGGTGATACTTTCATCTCAACTGCTGTCATTGCTATTTTTTTGTTAACTGAAACTTTCTGCATTTTTACAAAAGCAAAAATGCAACATCCGAGTGCATAAAATAAACATTTATGGAATTACTTTAGATTCTGTACACATGAGAGAGTTGCAACGCACGTTTTAGAGTAAGGGGAAGTAGGTTTTATGTATGTTTGTTGTGTATTTACTTCTATATACAATAAACTTACCTCATGGTAATTACGAGGTTCTTCTCTGTTGAATCCAATCCCTAACTTCTCGCAAGGTGCAAGACAGACCTGAACTTTCGTTAAATAAGCAATAACGTACCAGTAATTAAAGGAATATTTATATTTTACTCAAGAATCCCCAGAATAAATCTGACATGTTTAAGGAAATACTATAGAAAAACTACCATTAGACAAATGATAATTCGCTTAGTACAAGGAAGGTCGCTTAGGTTGCTAAAACGGGGTATTTTTACTTTTTTTTGTTCTTTATATCTACGTTGCAAAGCCCAAACAAAAACTACCTCTTCGACTTTTATGGCTTGACTGGGACGCCATGAGACACTTGATCCAACACGCTGTCATGTGTACGCAAAGGCTTATCTGAATCGCCTTGCAAATGGTGTTGTAACCTCCATGTGTACAAAGCCTTAGTGAGTCGTTGGCTCAGTGGGTAGCGCCACGGACTTCAGGCCTAAGGCAGCGATATCGTGGATTCGGATCTCCGTACCTGCCACTACTTTTTACCAGTACAGTTCAAGTTCACCCTTGTACTAAACCGGCTCACCCTTGCTTTACTGGATACGTGCCATGGCACAGGTCCATAGCCTATGTTTTTTTTTTTTTTTTTAGGGTGAGGAGGGAAAATGCTTTTACGCACACAGGTAGCCAGCCTGTAGTGTGAGACTCCTGAGTTTATCACAGACTACTCACTAAAAAACACCCTCTACTCTGTTGGACACAGACCTGGAATTGTTTGTCACATTACTTCAAGTCAGGCCAACATGTGACCTAAGCCCACAGGGCTCGCACCGTTTCTGGCATTATTTATTTTTTGACCTACACCGCATCCCGGTCGAGGTCAAGCTTCTTGGCGCGGAGAACACCCTGGATGTAAAGTGACACACAGGTCCAATTGTCCTCACCCTCCATCATCATCGGTATGACCGTGTCCACCGACAGCAGTCCTACGAACTGTTGAGCCTCTAGGCGGGGCCTTTCCCAATCCTGGCAGTGGAAGAAAGTGTGTTCCACGTCATCGGGAATGCCTGGGCAGTATATGCAATCGGGTGACACGGCTTTGCCCATCCTGAACAAGTACGACCGGAAAAAGCCGTGACCCGTCAGAAATTGGGTGAGGTAGAAGTTCACCTCTCCGCACCGCCGATTAACCCAAGGTTGGACCTGTTGTATCAGTCGCCTGGTCCAGAGCCCCCTTGTCTCCTGTTCCCAGCTCTCCTGCCACAGCTGGAAGGTCCGGGTGCGTTCCTCAATACTTGCCTGGTCCTCCCCACGGCGCTGATAAATTGCCTTCCTCTCCGCCGCCAAAAGTTTGACGGGGATGACTCCAGCAACCACCAGGACGGCGGGTTCGGACACTGTTCGATAGGCAGATGCTACCCTTAGTGCTGCCTGACGCTGCACTCGGGCGAGCCGCATCCTATATACCTCCTTATTGAGAGCGTCTGCCCAGACCTCCGCACCGTACAGGAGCACTGACTGGACCGCAGACATCAACAGCCTTCTGCGGCTGGACCGTGGACCTCCGACATTGGCCATTAACCGACTAAGGGAAGAAACCATTTTAGCGGCCTTGTCCGCCGTACGGGTGATCTGGTCTCGCCAGCTGAGCTTGCTGTCCACCATGACCCCAAGGTACTTTGCGGCACGAGTGGTTTGGACTTCAACGTTCCCCACCATCAAAGGCACGATGGTGTCAATCCTCTTTTTAGTCAGAATGACAATCTCAGTTTTGCTCAGAGCGAGCGAGAGACCATGTTCTGCCATCCATGCGTTAATGGTTCGCATGACTCGATTTAGTTTCAGCTGGGCAAGCTCAATGCTACGTGCAGCTATTAAAGCCGCAACGTCATCTGCATACCCAACTAGGACAGTTTCCTCAGGCATATCGGATCTCAAGAGGCTGTCGTAGGCGACGTTCCAGAGGTCCGGGCCCAGTATGGATCCTTGAGCAGCACCAGAAGTTACATCCATCGTCCTGGAGCCTTCTGTAGTGTCGTAAATGATGAGGCGGTACCGGAGGTAGTCCTCTATCATGCGCATGAGGTATGCCGGGACGTGGAAAGTGTTCTCCAGTGCGTCGAGCATATCGCACCACCTCGCGGAATTAAATGCATTTCGCACATCAAGTGTTACAAGCAGCACAACCCGACGAGAATAGTTGTTAAACTCCTCACCTCTCATTAAGGCTTGCTTTACCTCCTCAATAGCGTCAACCGTTGACCGTCCCTTCCTGAAACCGTACTGACGAGGGGATAGATTCCCTGCAGCAACCACGGCTGAATTCAGTCGGGAACGGATCAACTTTTCCAAGACTTTCCCAGCAGTGTCCAACATACAGAGAGGTCTGTAAGAGGAGGGTAGGTCTGGGTTTCCTTTTCCCTTCCCCACGAGCACAAGCCTAGCTGTTTTCCAGCAGAAGGGAAACTTCCCCTCGGCCAGACAGGCATTGTACGTGCTCAAAAGGATTTGTGGGTTTATTGAAAAGACTTTCTTCAGGGCCTCACCAGGTACCCCATCCGGTCCAGGAGCCTTGTTGTTCTTCAGGGACAGAACGGCCGCCTCCAACTCCTCGAGACTGAAAAGCGGTACGTCGTCCACCCTTCCGAACTCCCGCAATGGGCGCAGTGTGTGAGTCGGGAAAAGGGACTTTACGATCCTCTCCATAGAGGCCCCGTCCATAACGGAAGGTGGAGAGCGGGTGCCAAGCTTCTTGGTTACTATCTTGTAACCAAGGCCCCACGGATCGGAATCGACATCGTCCCTTAATTTCTCCCAGCAACTGCGTTTGCTCCGGTTAATGGCCCGGCGAAGAGACTTCCTAGCCACCTTGTAAGCGTCAGACTTAAGACGTCTATCTTCAGGTTCTCTGGCCCTGGTAGCAAGACGTCTGGCTCTCAATGCTGCCCGTCGTAGTTCTGCAATCTCGGTTGTCCACCAGTACACAGGTCGCTTATCGCACCGGGATCTCCTGCGAGGCATTGACTCTTCGCAGGCCGAGACTATCAGCCTCATCACTGATGTCTCTGCGTGAGCCACGCCAGATGCAGCAGGTACCACTGGCTCTCCCCGTAGTATGACTTCGGTGAATTTGGCCACGTCCAGCTTTTTGGTGTTCCACCGAACGGGCACCTGCCGAGACACGGTAGCTTGTCTCTGATGACTATCCATGACATCAAAAATGATGTACTGGTGGTCACTGGCCGTATAATCCTCTAGGACTCTCCAGGCTCGTATCCTCGGCAAGAGGGACTCAGATGCAAGCGTGATGTCTGGGATCGTTCCCCTCATTCCGGGACGCTGGAAAGTTGGCGTGTTGCCCTCGTTTATGACAACAAGTCCAGCCCTGGCAGCAAAGTCCAGGATGTACTTCCCCCGGGAATTAGTGAGAGTCATTCCCCACTCGACAGCCCTAGCATTGAAATCCCCCGCCACGACAACGTGCCCGGCGGTATCGCGCACGCTCTCTTCCAGGCGGTCTATCTTTCCACGAAAGTCACGGATAGCCTCGTTGGGGGTGAGGTATACACTAAAGTAAGTGACATCCCCACACCGGACCCAAACGAATCCTCGGCCCTTCGCGTGACTCCTTACCTGCACTTTAGCTGTATTACGAACCCAGAACGCAGCAGTACCAAGTGTATCGGGAAACCAAAGAGATGGGTCCCTGTCCCGGTACTGGTACTGTTCGCTGACCAAGAGCGCGTCAACACCGTGTTCAAGGGCAAGCTGACTGAGAAGCGCGTCAGCCGTCCTGGATCGATCTACATTGCACTGGAGGATCCTTATCTTCGTGGTTGGGCTTTCGCATGTTGTAGTGCGCCTTTAAATGCACTGCACTGCCCAGACCCAGCTATATGTTTAGCGTTTTTATCATTGAGGCCTTTCTCCTTACAGAGGAAACAGGTCTCAACTTTACAGTCCCTACGAGTGTGACCCACCTCCCCGCATCGAAGGCAGTTCTTGCCTCGGTCGGGCCCTTCGCAGTTTCGGGAGGAATGGCCGAAATCAAGGCATTTAAAACACCTCGTTACTTCCACCCTCCGTCTCAACCTGCAATTAACCCATCCAACCCTCAAATGCTGGAGTGCCAAAACCTTACTGGCGTTTGCGTCTGCCATTTCGGCGACCGCCATCCGCTGTTGACTCCGGTTTGGTTTCGTGAGCCACACCCTCAGACTAGCAGTTTGTCCGGCAAGCTCGGGGACAGCTTTTTTTAGGGCATCGATGACGTCATCCTCCGTTGACACACAATCCATATCCCGAACCTCGACGGACGTCTTGGGTTCGAGAGCACGAACGGTGACCTGACCTTCCACAGCTGCCTTTAGTTCGGCAGCAAAGGCGGCTTTATCTTTAGACTTACCCAGTTCGAGGAGGACGTCCCCGTCCCGGGTTTGTCTAATCGACGGTACAACCGTGTCGGTTTGCTCTGGCTTAGCCTTGGCCTTGATAACACCCAAGACTTCGGCGAATGATCTTCCCTCCAAAGGCTTGACCAAAATTGCCTCAGTCCTGGGCTTTTTGGGCCGCGACTTTTTAGCGAGTGCCGAGCCAGGCACAGCTTGGGCCACGCCGGTCGACTGCGCCCTCACTGCCACATATGTCTTGGAGCCGACTTCCGCGTGCCTCAATTTCCTCTTCTCCTTTTTCGTAAGGCGCTTTTCCCACACAGTCCCAGATGGTGTTTCTACGACTGACCCCTTTCGGGAGCTACCCTCAATGGGTGTCGCAGGTTGCTGTGGCTGTTGAGGTTTCGCTGGAGCGGCAACTACGTCAGAGAAGGACCTAGAAGTCTGGGTCGCCTTGACCTTAACTTTAGGCTTTGCTGTCTGAACAACCACTTCTCTTTTTGGAGGGCTTTCTGATGTAGGCCTCCTGCGTTTCTTGGAAGGTCGCGCATTGTCGTCAGGTAGGGACACCACCTTCTCGGCGATTCTTTCCATGGCCGCCTTGCTCACCAGCCGGCAGGCGAAGACAAAACCAAGGTCGTCCTCGAGCTTAGCCATACCATTTTTAACCACTTGGTTAACTCCTCTCTGCGTCTTAAAGGTTTCAAGCATTGCCTTTATGGTCTGCTCCATGTTTCGAAGCCGGTTTTCAATGTCATTTTCTGCGTCGAGATATTGCTGACGCAGAAGTACCATTCCCGACACTTCCAAATCTAACGCTGTTGTTAGGGATTCCTCCGGCATCCCTTCACCAGACTTAGAGGGTGGTCCACCGTTTCCTTCTCCACTTGTCAAGGGAGATCCCAAAGTCAAGTCTTTTGTACACCTGAAAGATGCAGATGGAGGGGACGTCTTCACGCCTTTCAATGTTGGCGATCTCTGGACCTTGGAGCTTCGCCCAAAAGGGTCTCGCTCTACTTCCGACTTCTTTTCTTGCTCATTCGAGCTACTTATTAAAGATGTGTTCAGGGTATTTGTTATAAAAGCCATCTTGTGTTTACCAGCGCATCGTGCGGCAAGGGGCGGCCCGGAATAGTCAGGAACGGGTATACCCTCGGGGACAGCGCCCCTACCCCAGTTCCCCGAGGCCCAACCTCCGTTTTCCCAGCACCGGATACCTGACGTGCCGGGGGTCACCCGTCACAATGTAGAGCCCGACCTCTACATCCATGCCGCACTCCCTGACCAAGGACCGAAGTGGCTGGTTTCTCACGACTCACTGAGAATACCCATCGGCAGTGCAGAGCACACATCAACCCCTGCAAACACAACAGGAGCACTCCCAAGGACTCCCAGTGAGAGCGTCGGTCACCCTTTTAGTCGCCTCTTACGACAAGCCCGGGAAGGCTGCGGTTCTATTCTAACCCCGAAACCGCAGGGGAGCCATAGCCTATGTGAAACTACATACAAATGCAAGGTTAAAAGAGGCTGCCAACCTCTTTAAAAAATAAAAAAACCATAAACCTTTTCTGAATGTTTAGCCATACACCACAATGTCTTTGGAAAACATTTGATCACACAACCCCAACATTGACTGTCTGACTTTTATTCAACTTGGCAGGAATCTTCATTAATGCTAACAGATGAGTTTGAGATACACAAAACCCTATTCCCCTCCTTTGCTCCTGCCCTTTCCCTTTAAGTCACCCACAAATTTTCTCTTGTTGAAATTTGCTCTCCACTTGTCAGCGTAGCATGGTAACACTTAGTTATTTTTTTATTGAATTAGTTTGGTTTTGATAGGACTTTTGAATTCAGTTAAAAGTGGTTTTAAATATATTTTAAAAAGTTTGCAAGAGGAGTATCTATTGTTTGCCCTGGAAACTGGGTAGCAGAATGATGATAAGACCTCTTTGGCACTAACCCTTACAACTCCAGTGATTATTCATTGATTTAATCATGCTTTAACCAACTTCATGATGGTTGGCCACTGGATCGTTAAAATTAGCACTAATAAGGTTTATATTACCTGGCTACTGTCTCCGATCCTCGGTATAGTTTTAAGAAACTACAGCTGTTTCATGCCTTACATTGGCACATCATCAGGTTTGGTGAACGCCAGCTTTTCTATAAAATATCCCTCGGAGATGAGTCGCGACTTATCCATCACCGGCGCCGCATCACGTTTCGCAGTAGTTTCTCAATTATTAGTGTTTAAACGTTTCGTGCGTGTTTTCGTGTGTGTAAATGTCTACATGTTTTTCGTAAAACCATAACGATCTCATCTCCGAGGGGTATTTTATAGAAAAGCTGGCGTTCACCAAACCTGATGATGTGCCAATGTAAGGCATGAAACAGCTGTAGTTTCTTAAAACTATACCGAGGATCGAAGACAGTAGCCAGGTAATATAAACCTTATTAGTGCATGCTTGTAGTATGGAAGAGACATTAATATTCATGGTAAGACATCGGTCTGAGTAAACTTGACACTTTTTAAGGGTCCTCAGAAGGCAAAATCTCATTGTTAGAACACCAAACACTTGAAGTATTGAATTTAAGTTACTGTACGTACATATGTATGGCCAGTGTATAAAAGTGGAATTTTACTTTGATACCACCAAATACCCATAGTGAAAGAGCAGTAAAATGATGATATTTGATCTGATAACCTACTGTACTTGCAGGGATTGTTTCCTCTATAGAGAACTTCTTTCCCTCATAGAAGCTGTGACGCCCAAGCAACCGACGTGACACTGCTCACCCAACTTTAGACTGCCAAATATTTTGTTTTGTATTTTTTTTACCAAAGTTCCCAGCTCATTTAATGTTTGACAAAGCAGAATGATGCTTAGTGTTGTGGATTAAGTTGTGATTAATTAGTAATACAAGATTTACTTATTTCAGCTTTATACAAGTCATATTAATTAAATATATCGCATATCGGTAGTATAGCCGACTATAGCATCATATTTTGCAAAATAATTTTATGTAAACTATATCGAAGTTTATGGTCTGAAAGAAATAACTCCCGATGTGTCACAAAGTGATATTTTATTTAGCATTCCAACTTGCTTGGTAACCAAAAACCGATGCAAGTGTGACTATTTTCTCATTGTAATATAGTTTGTAAATATTATTTAGGTGTTTTTATTTTTAATCATTCTGTCTGTTGTTGATTAGTTTTAAAATATTCAGTGATAATAGGGTTTGTATAAATTAGAAGAACAGGACCTCTGTTCCCTTAAATACCTTGTTTTATTGTTTGTGTGTATTCGATAATTTTTTAGTTGTTGTATGAGTTTTGTCCTTGTTAGGTAATATTTTTGTATTTAGATTAGAAGTTTACACTGCCTAATCTCAGGACTGTATCCCTTCTATGTTTAGGACCATAGGGTGTGACAGGTTCCTATGGTTCGGACATTGTTGGCACGTTAGTTGAAAGATAAAATAATATGCAAGAAAATACATGATATATGACAACATATACATGATAATATACATGTTGAAAGATATAAAATAAAATAATAAATTGGAAAAAAAACTAAAAATTACTAAAAATTGACTCCGCGATGTGCAGTCCTGGATTTCAGAATATAAAAAAAGAGCTCCAATTTCTGCCAAATGGCGGCATTTGGTCCTTCCACTGCATTACTGTACCCTAGGAGCACTACACGTTGTGTTTCAGTTAAGAGACAACTTTTTAACCAACCATTTTCATCTTCAAAGCTCATTGTTTTATACATTAATCCTATTTTGACAAAATAATAAACGGTGACCGTTAATACCTAAAAAAATTATCAGATTTATTTAAGCTTTAGGCCTAGTTTAATGTTTCTCACATAAAATTCCAGAGAGTCTATAGTTTAATCTTTTTAAATGTTTCTAATCAATTGTGTTTAGGATTTTGAAGACTTCTAAATTAATTTATGATCTGTAATGGTAACATAAAACAAAACTATTAAGCCATTAATACCCTATTGCTTGTGGATTTAGGTAAAAGTTACGAATTTTATATATCTTCTAGAATAACAATATAACACAGTTTACATTTAATACAAAAGAAATCAATTGTTTGGAATTTTTTGATGCAAATCCTTAAATATTTGCATGGACCAGGTATAATGATGGAAACCGTAATTCTGAAAAAATGTATAATGCCATATTTCTGGTACAGTATTGAATTAGTTAAGCAAAGAATGTAACCAGCAATACATGACACAAGATTAATGTGATGTGTGCGGGGTATTATTGATGACATAACATAATTTTAAGTTGATTGGAGTTGATGGTGTTTCAATTTACAGTAGCCTACATTTTATGATCATGACAAAGTATAATATTATTCAAATTAATGACTTTAACACTAGTAAAACTGGTTAATAGAAGCCAATGAAGAGCTGTATATTGATAACTCCTTATGTTTACGGGCCAATAGACATCAAACGACATCAGAACCTAACATTAAAATTATAAATAAGCAAATTCTGTCAAGTTTTATAGGCTAGCCAGTAATGATTTCTATTTACTCTGTTTCTATTGATGTAAAAGTGCTGTACACTAGTCTATTGGGTTGTAGCGACTTTTATTGGCCTTAGTTCTATTGATATCTATTGAAACAAGTTGATGTCTAGTTGAAAAATTGTCATTGAAGAAACTTTTTATAGGTATCTATTTTGACCAGTTTACCATTAAAAATTCTATTATTGTATTTTATTCGAATTTGAAGGATTCAAGTACTTAATTTCAGTTGTTTATAGTAAAATTGATTTAAAATTATGATAATTTTATTAAAAATATAACATTGTAGAATTGGTTCATTTTCAGTTGTATCTAGTGGAAATCCATATAATGTAAACTAATTTTTCATGTCCAGGAAATTATAACCACACTGATAATCAAAGATGCTCAGCAGTAGGTCAGCTGTTTGATCAATCATAAAGTAAGGAATCTAAATTTCCCTTTCCTTGTATGACATTAGTATACACGATTCTTACACCAAACTTATTGACATTGAAGATAATTTTCATACTATTTTCAGGTCGGAACACTCAAAGTTACAGTATTACCATTGGCTTACAATCAAAATTTTTTTTAGAGAATGAAATGGAGTTATTATGTCAAGCCATTTGCGTGAGTAGTCTGCTTTGTTCTTTATATTTAGGTATCTATACAATAGTTTTGCCTATTAATTAACCAAAATTGAAGCATTGCCTATGTGAAAGCCATTTTATTTTCCCCTATTTTGGTAAAGAAATGTGTGTAGGAATACCTTAAGTCATTGGTTCCAATTATGTAGACTGTTAAGTACTCCTGACTACAGATCTTTGTTACATTATTATGTCTTATAGTTAAAGTTTTGAACGAGAAAGTTAATTGAATTGAATTGATGCAATATATGGAGTTAAGTTGATTGACATATAGCTTAGGTAAATGTAACTATAACTGTTGTCAACTGACATAGTATCAATGTCTTATGTGTATTGTACAATGTACTCTTCCATGCCCCATAGTGACAAAACTGTGATATTTTGTTGATATAGGTTGTTTCAGGGGCTTGACTGTGAATATTGTTCTTGTTTAGTAAAGTTATCAATAGCTTTTTAACTAAATAGTTAATATCATAAAAAGTGTAAACCAACAACATCCCTTCCCCTCATTACATTTGTGGTTACCAAATTATAAAAGTTATTAAACTGTTTATTTGAGTTTAAGAGCTCTTTAAAAACTCCTTAAGTGCGAGGATTAAGAAAGAATTATCTACTTATTGAAATAGAAATGCATTTTAAGATTTGTATAGTATCTTGCAAAAATTGCCAAAGCTAATAAATACACTCCTGATAAATTAAATACCTTATTTATTATTTAAGCCCGATTTCACCAAACGTTTCATTGGAAAAAGAGGTGGATTACGCTAATGAAAAGTTGACTGATCAGATGTTTAGTGGTAGCTACATTAGTTTTATTCACTGGTACTCTACCTTCATAACAATGAGAGACTTACATTTATATTTAAATCATTACAGGGATGTCGTAAAATAACAGGAGTTTGTATTCAAATCACACACAAAGAAACTAATCGTCACCATCACATTAAATGCCATAATTATAAAGCTTGTTCTCTAACATTTCTGATAAAAATCATGCGAATAATCCATAATAGTCACACAAGAATTTGTATAGGTGACCACTATTAAAAAGAAAAGAGTAGACCTACAAAATGCAATACCAAAATAAGCCTATACTGTAAACCAATCAGCAAATCTAAAGTAAACAAAAACCAACAACAAATAAATGACAACTGATGTAATTTATTTACACTGGCTGATCAGTCGATTGGTTTTAATCATCCCCTAAGCAATGTAAGACTTCAATTCAATTGAATTTAAACAGGAAAAACTTGGAAACTTGGAAAACTTGGAAAAACTTGGCTTTAGAATTTTAAAATAGAAACCATTAGTAATCATTATACACAGTGAGAACTAAAACACTCACTGCTATTTAGGGTTGCTGGTTGGTGTCATTCCTTTGACGAACATATTACGTAAGAGTTAAAAAGTTATGTTATTATACGTGATCTATTGAGTATATTCACTGGTTAGTTGAAATACATCCTGGTTTCTAGATATTCTGGCATTAGAAAACAGGATTTATGTATTTTCAACTTAACAAAAAGGTTGGGTAAATGTTGTTGGGCAAGCTTAAAAACACACTTGTTCAAAAATTGGTAAATCATGAAGTTGCACTCTGTAATTTACTTATTATTTACCATAACTCAAATTTCTCTTATCGTCAGAGGATATTCATAAACTATAGGTACTCTTTTTGACAATCCCTACCATGTAAATTGTATTTTGTTTCTAAATAATGAAAGAAAATTTGTGTTAACATTTTTAACTAAGTAGTAACAATCTACTTAATAACTTAAAAATCACAAAAATAATAAAAATTTTGTTACTCTTAGAGTTACATAAAATGTTTTTGTTCAAAGATTTATCCTGGAATATTTAACAAATGTTATTATAGTTTCTTTGATCATTCATACAGTATTGTTAAAATTAAATATCTGCCAAAAGTATCTCAAAATCAAATACCAAATTTATAAAAGTTACTTAAACTTTGACAAATTAAATGTGCCAAAATGTATAAAAACTTATTTTTATACATCCTTTATCACAACTACTACTTATTTTAGATGTCATTGTTTTCTGTTATACCTCGGCTTCGGATAAGATAAATAAAAGTCAGGGTGCTTTCTAAGTCTCTGTCAATTCTCAAGCCTTATTATTATTACTCAGTTGGATATTGTGCATTAATAGTATTACAATTTATCCCCTAATCCATGTAAATGCCCTGTCAAACCATGGACCAATCAATTTTTTCATTTAATACTTAGTTAATTGTGAATAAAATGAAATATTCTTGAATATATTTTGATTGTGTTTTATTTGATTCCAAATCCCAATTTTAATGTATTGTTATTTTAAAGTTATATTGTAAATGAATGTTCACCTTTTGGTAAGCAGACTGTGACTATAGTTATGGACAAAGACATACAGTACATGTATGCAAAGACGCAAAACAATATATGTACAGAAAAATCAAAATCGGATTCAAACATAAGGGTGTAGGGATATTAAGTTATAAAAAACTTTGGAAATCCCCAACAGGTGATAAATTAATAGTTATATTTTATTTGTTACGTTCTCTCATTGTTACTTATTCCACGGGTTTTTATTTTTGAGCCATAATATTCTTCTTTAACAGACTTAATCACATGCAAAACGGTCTGGTAAATGAATGACAACCTGAAAAGGCAAAATAGTATAGTTTTAATATTGTTTCAAGAAAATAAAAATAAAATATAAAAAAACTACCCAAAAATAATACTGTCTCGGCTAACGTGCATGCTACTTAAGGAAATTTCAAGTTGCTTTATTTAGTGTTTATCACAAAAGAGGCTTCATAATTTGATAATTGAATTTGAGCTTCAGAAGTGGACTGGTTAATGGCTAAGAGTGGAAAAGCGATAATAAACACATTTAGGAATAAATTTGAGGTTCTCGATGTAGAGGAAAATGAATCATCCATTGTTGAGAATGATATAGATTGTGAAGAGAGTGATTTAAATCTAGGTGCAAGTGTAAAAGTAGTATGTAAATCTGACTTGAATGTAAAATGTAGGTCAAAAAAAAGAAATAAGGTGACAAATATTGAAGCTAAGGCCGTTCCACAGGGCTCGTCCGTAGGTGCTCGGTTAGATAACAACAAAAAGAGTCAATGTAATGAACCTTTGTATGATGATGTTTTAGTTTTAGGTGACTCTATGATCCGCCATGTTAGCTTAGACTTAGAGAAAAGAGGTGCGTTTGTAGAATGTTGCCCTGGAGCACGAATTAATCATTTGAAGAATGTTTTGTTAAAATACGTTACTCACAATCTTAGAATCATCCACATCCATGTGGGTACGAACAACCTACGGATGGGTTATAGGGGAGGTCCAGGATACAACGGAGGTCAGGGGAAGCGGGAGGCACTCCACGACATGGCCGACCTGCTGTCTATGGCTAAAAAAAACTTTCCTCACTCAAAAATTTATGTTAACAGCATAGTCATCAGATCAGATATCAGTTACAAAGCTTTGTTTGATTTTAACTACCAACTTGACTTAATGTGCAATAATTTTGGGGTCATGTTTGTGGAGGCCAACTGCTGGGTGGCAAGAAAGCATCTTGCTCGAGATGGAAGACATCTCAACAGATGGGGAGTTTCACGGCTGGCGTCATTGTTTAGCACAGTGATTCCGGCGGCACTGCGTATGACGAGATGTCTAGACGTGAAAACTCCAAGTGAAGTTGTTTCCTCCGACGTGGAATTGGGTCCGGTCCCGGTTGATCTCTCTCCACAGGGAGCTGTCCCGGGCCCGGAGCCTTGCCAGGCGGCGGGAAACGAGGAATTCAAAGCCTGTGTTTTGCCCATTTAAACATCCGTTCCTTGAACACAGGTTTTGACGAATTGTGTGCACTGACAACTGATCTCGACTTTGATTTACTTGGGGTTTCTGAGACTTGGCTCAGCCCCAGCACACCCTCCGACAACTATGAGATACCTGGGTACATCCTTCTGAGGGCAGACCGAGCTCTTGGTACTGGAGGTGGTGTAGCACTCTACATCAAGAACGGTTTGGCTTTCGAGCAAGTTCACTTGCAAGGCATTGATCCAGGCATAGAATTTATCTCTGTAGTGGTCAAAGCTAGGGGTGCAAAAGTAATCGTGGCAATCGTGTACAGACCACCGCATGTTAGCTATACCGGCCTCGGCTCTTTGTTTCAGGCAATGCTTGTAGACAGTGCAGTAAGAGTAGACTCAGTCATATGTTTGGGTGATTTGAATATCGACTTATTATCATACTCTTGCCCTCAAACTAAGTACCTCCGTCACATGTTTAAATTATACAACTGCATTCAACATATTACCAAGCCGACACGAGTTACAGAAAAATCAGCCACATTAATTGACCATATTATTACCAATAAAGCAACTCAGTTTGAGATGATTGGGGTGATTGATGCTGCAAGTATATTGGATAGCAGACAAAAACAAATCACTGATCATAAACTTGTATACTGCAATATTACGTATAAAAGGAAGAAAAGAGTAGCTAAGTTTGTCACATACAGAGACTTCTCTAAATTCAATATATCTGACACAATTGAGGAAATTAAGAGAGTTGAGTGGGAAAAAGTTTCTGAAATGACTGGTGTTAATGATATGAACTTTTTCATAACATCAAATGTAAGGAGAATTTATGATATTCAAGCACCCCTTGTTACAAAGAGAATGACTAGGAAAAAAGCAGCATGGAGAAATGAGAAAGTAATAGAACTAACGCGTTTAAAAAATAAGTTAAAGAAAAAGTATTTGAGTACAAGAAATGACTATGATTGGACGGAGTATAAAAAAATTAGAAATCAATTGAATTGTGCTATATGGCATGCTAAAAAGAAATTTTACATAGATAAATTGTCTGACTGTAAAGACTCCAAAGAGTTCTGGAAATGCCTTAAACAAAATTATATTTCGAGTAAAGAGAGCAATAATACGATTCTTAAAGATTTTAATGTCAGTGATATGAACGAATATTTTGTAAAAATGGGATCATTTTATGATGTGGACAAAGATATAATGAATACGTACAGAAAGACGACTCATAATGACAATAAAAATATATTTAAATTTAAAGCTGTGTCAGAATATGAAGTAAAATCCGCTATGAATGAGATAACTTCCAGAGCTGTGGGAATTGATAAAATAAGTATTTTAATGATAAAATCCATTAGTCCGTTTGCTATTGGGGCCATAACACATTTAATAAATACATCTTTAGCTACAGGAATTTTCCCTAGAACCTGGAAACAAAGTATCGTCCACCCATTGCCTAAGAAGGAGAATCCTTCTAATTTGAATGAACTTAGGCCAATTTCAGTCCTGCCAGCTCTATCGAAAGTACTCGAAAAGATAACTGTTCGACAAATTACGGATTTCATTGATGAAGAAGATTTATTGCCTAAATTTCAATCTGGGTTTAGAAAAAATCATAGCACAAACACTGCATTGATAAACCTGTTTGCAGACTTGTTTGCGGCGAGAGACAGCGGCCGGTGTAGCTCTTTGATCATGCTTGATTACTCGCAGGCCTTTGACTCCATCAGCCATGGTTTGCTACTCAGCAAATTGAGACATTTTGGATTTGGGGATGTGGCAATTGGCTGGCTAAGGTCGTATTTGGGAAACAGATCCCAGGTAACCAGGATGGGTGTAGACACCTCGCCTCCCCTTAAAAAGCTTAGGGGAGTCCCGCAGGGGAGTTGTCTGGGACCCATCTTGTTTACACTCTACACAGCCGACCTTACCACGTGTGTACGTCACTGTAATGTGCATGCATATGCAGATGACTGCCAGTTGCATTTTTCCTACCCAATCGGCTCATTCAACAGCGCCTTTGAGAATGCAAACATGGATCTTGAGAGAATAAGTGAGTGGTCAAGGAAGCACGGCCTTAAGTTGAATGTTGAAAAATGCACAGTGATCCACATTGGATCACCACCCATCGTAATCCAAAAAATCTGCGACGGTGAAGTGCATATTCAACTTGACAATGAAAAGCTTAGGGTTTGTGACACTGTCAGGACTTTGGGCGTGGTTCTTGACAGTGGTCTTACCTTCTCCAACCACATCACTTACGTTTCTCAAATTGTTTTGGGAAGGCTGCGAGGACTGTACAGATTCCGTTCGATTCTTCCAGAGACTGCAAAACTGAAGTTAGTTCAGTCTCTGGTGTTGTCAGTGATGTACTACTGCATTCCTGCATACGGAAACAGTATTTCCCGGGAGGATATGAACCGACTTAATAGGCTGCAAAACACCGCAGTTCGTTTTGTCTACGGACTTCATAAGCGGGAACACATATCCTCTTTCCGCGATTCTGCTGGTCTGTTGCCAGCCGATGCTGTATGCAGAGTGCAAACTTGTTGTCTCATCCATCGGGTATTATCTCACAGAGAACCAAAATACCTGGTGGAGAGACTTGTGACACGTGGAGCAATTGCTCGACGGGGCACTAGGCAGGACACCCTCCTCCACTTTCCAAAAGTTAATTTGGAAATAGGTAGGAGGGGGTTCTCCTATTTTGGCCCAACCCTTTACAATGACCTCCCCTATCAGATCAAAAGCCTTTCGGCCTTGGCTTTCAAAAAACAGGTTAAAATACATTGTAAAGCAGGCATGTAATTTTTTGTTGATTTTTTATTTTTGTACATAATTTGTTTAGATATTTGACTTTTAAATGTTTAGTTTTAGTGACGTGAGTTATTCTGTAAACCAATATTGTATTGAGAAGCGCTCAAGAATAAAGGCATTTTGATTTGATTTGATTTGATTTGATTTGATTTGATTTGATTTATATTATTGCTTTTCCACTCTTTGAGCATTCTCAATGATGTTTTAAAGTGAGTATTGGGTTGGTAAGAGAGGAGGTGAAAGGTGGAAGATCTCAAAATAACCTTCAGGACCAAATATTATAGCAGCCCCTCTCTAATCAGGACCAGATACTTATAAAATAATATTTTAGATTTTATAGCAACAATTATCGATAGATTTTTTTATTAATAAAAAAAACAACGATGATGAATTGGCCCTGGATTAACCCCAACCGGGATCAGTTCACTATGATACTGAAGGTTTCGTACCTGTTGAATGGCTTCGCCACACAAGCATGGTCACAAGGCATTTCATATAGATCCCCAACATCAAAATCTAAAAAAGATGGATTAAAATAAAGTACGGTAAACATACATAATAAAGCCGTGTTCACAAGGAACCATTAGGCAGGCGGGTTACATGGCTGGTTACCTGCATCTAGTGTATTTCAAGTTAACTGAGGCAACCTGCACGCCAACTGGTTTCTTGTGAACACGGCTTTAGTGTGTGGAAACAATCAGAGTACATTGTCAGTCTGCACAAATGATCAATAACTAAAAGGAATATCAATATAATATACTAACGGTAATCTACGAGGCATGTTTTTTAAAAAGTAAGTACCGTTTTAAAATTTAAAAAACCAGTATACTTATTGTAATAATTATATTTTGATTTGGAAGCCAGTATCTTAATCTACCATTAATATTAAGGCATTTATCATATTTTTCCACGAGCTTTTGCATTCTTTTCTCAAATAATTCTGCCGCCTGATTGGATAACCAGTGTGTCAATGCCGCTTTGACCTCATTATTGTTGTCTAGGCGCTGACCACCAAGATGTTGCTTTAAATATAAGAAAAGGTGGTAGTCAGTGGGCGCTAGATCTGGGCTATATGGAGGGTGGTCAAGCTGTTCCCAGCGTAATGATTCGATTAGTTTTTGCGTTTGATTAGCCACATGTGGATGGGCATTGTCATGCAGCAAAATGACCCCACTGGACAAAATTCCACGCCGCTTGTTTTGGATTGCCCGGCGCAATTTTTCCAAGGTCTCACAGTATGATATTGTGTTAATTGTGTCACCACGAGGCAAAAAATACCAGTAACACCCCCTTTCTGTCCCATAAGACAGTACACATCAATTTTCGGGCTGACATTGTTTGCTTGAACTTCAGTTTCTATGGCGAATGTGTATGCTACGATTCCATGTTTTTTTTTTTTTTTACTCTGGCGTAACATAAGACACCCATGTTTCATTGCCTGTAACAATTTGACTTAACAAATCATCTCCTTTCTCCTCGTAGTGCTCAAGAAAAGTCAATGCACTGTTTAGACGCTTGGTTTTGTGCACCTCAGTCAATATTTCCGGGACCCAGAATTTTCTGTACATAATTTTTCAGTCACAATATCATAAAGGACACTTCCCCAAACTAAAGGAAACTCATCAGATAATGATGAGATTGTAAACCATCTGTTCTCTCTCACTTTTTCATCGACTTAACGTACCAATTCATCAGTTGTAATGACAGATGGCCCGCCCAGTGCGTTGCTTATCAGTCATTATGAATGTTGGTGCAGCAGTCTTTAAATAACCACCTACATTAAACTGGCATAGATAGATAGTTGATATAAAATATATTCCTAGATATTTTGCTACATAACACAAAAAATATGTAAAGTCTTAAAAATATGCTTACACGAGAACTCTGGTGGTACAATGTGGAAGTCTACCCCCAGTGTAGAAACACGAGTGGACTTTGCCTCAGCAAAAGTTACGATCCTGATGTTAACTTCTTTCAATAAGTCATTAAATTCTTGGTGAAGTTTGTTCAATACATCTGAGTCTAAAAGCACAGTAATAATATGCTATTAATAATGGTATGCAATTGTTGACTTACAAGAGAGATTTAGCATAGACTAGCTGTACCCGCGGGCTTTGCCCCGTTTAACTTCTTAATTTTCAAGATGAGCTCGTTCGCATGGCTCAATCGCGTCCTGGTTGAAGTTCGTTCGCTACGCTCACTCACCTTTAGGTTGGAGCTCGTTCGCTGCGCTCACTTGCCTTCAGGTTAGCTCGTTCGCTACGCTAATTCGCCTCCAGGTTGAAGTTCGTTCGCTACGCTCACTCACCTTTTGGTTGCTAAAATTTAAAAAAAATAATAGTGCTGCACCCTGTTGGTAATCTTTGTAAATTTAATGCTATTGAACATCATAGAACAGAACCAGCTTGTTTAACAGCTGTTAAGATTCATTAATTCCTTTTAAATATGAAAAATCATAAGGTTAACATGGGAAACTCCAGAGCCACTGGGGCGGAGCCCGAAAGCCCGATCAGAATAAAAACCACTTAGTTTTCCTATTTAATGCCCAAAGAATCAGTGTATTGAATTTCAGCCTCCTAGGTAAATGGGAAGTGGGAGAATTAGTGATGAGTGAGTGAGTGAGTCAGTCAGTAAGTGAGGGCTTTGCCTTTTATATATTTAGATAAAACATACTCCCTTAGTAGATTTATCATCCTTATGGAACAGCTGAAGACAATTTTATTGTTAGTTCTGTAGTTATGTAGAGGTCGTGTTTTTTTTACAATTTGTTTCCTGCTATTACAGTTATTTAAAACAAAACCTTGTTTAACCAAATAATACGATCTAATCATAAACAATAACTTGTCCCCTAGTTTTATAACCAAACAGTAAAGGACAAATAAAGAAATTAACCCTAAAATAATATAAACAAAATTTCATCAACACTAGCGCCCAGTATCACCGTACGTGAACTAGACACGAAAAATTTGATTCAAAATTTACAATGGGATGAGAAGTCTTCTTGTGTTGGTTTGTCTATGGATTTAGTTACTTAAACTACTTTTATTTGAAACTAGCTTTATATTACAAGAATCTTTAAAAAAGACTAACTATGGCACCGTACCTCTGAAATTCATTATTCGTGTCATCTAATTAAATGATATATTATTTATTCTGTTTTCTGCTAAAAACCCCTTTTTTCCCTTGGTTTTTGCCGTCCAGTAGAAAACCGTACCCAAAACTTTTTGTGTTAATAAATCAAATCAAAAGATGCAGCACTTTAAGAACAGTGGAGTTATAACTTTCCCATGAAGTTAATGAATTATTACTGGCAGCCATATAAAAGTAAAAGGCAAACCACAAAGGAATACTTATAATGTTCCATTGTGCAGAAAGCATCAGAGGATACTATGATGTTAACATACTCTGTCTAAGCTCTTCCACCTCTGTAGAAGGCCACAGCAGGTAGTTGAGGATGTCATTCATCTTTGCCAGAGGACACCCTAGGTGAGGTGTGCTGAGGAAAACTATGGCTTTGGTGTTGAGTGCAACGTTCCGAAGACTCTCATCAGAACTCTGCGCAGCTGTAAGTCAAACCAACAACAATATTGGATTCAAACACAACAACTTCAATTCAGTAGCCTCCTTCTCCATAGGCCACCTCAGGGCTGGAGGCCTGACCGGATAAAATTTGGCTGAATAACAAGATTTGCTCTTTAACCCATTTCCAATACAGTAGCTAAATTATGTACTGTTAAGTATTTTATTATGAGGTAAGTCCAAAAATTTATCATGAATATGGCCAATAAAAAAAATATAAGATGTCTAAAGTGGCCAGATAAAATAATTTTAACAGCAATAACCAGTGTTTAAAGCATTGTTTAATGAAAGGCACAGAAAGAGAGGGAAGTATCACATTCTCTCTTTTCCCCTATGCACTTTGGACTCATTTATAGATAAAATATGTAAAAATGGTTTATTTAAGTATTCAAAATGTATATAGATAAATTTTATACTTGTAACTATTTTTACCACAGCCTGTTCATGGATGTACCTTTATCAAAGCAATTATCATATTTTTAATGGAAAATAAGTGCTCAATTATAGTTGTGAAATTTGTAGTTACTTACCCTATGATCCATATCCTGACACACATACACATACATACCTTTTACATCACGAGGAAACTAAACCAAGCTCAGGAAAATAAAGCTTTTGATTGGACCCTGCGAGGTAAAAGGAAAAGAGAAACGCCAAGGGAAAGTTGGAAGCAAATTAAAAAAAAAAAAGGCTAGACGGATAGGAAGGAGTTAGGGAGAAGATAGTAGAGTTGCTGTTGACAGGGACCAGAAGAAGATGCTTCTTGGACCTACGCACTCCACTGGGTAAGACTCTATGAGAGGAAAAGTCCAATGCTTACAATGTGATGTGTAATGCTCTTATTTTAGCAACAAGCTAGTTTGTAATTATTACCTTGAGTGAGGATCTTCTTGACCAGGAGGCCACCCATGGAGTGAGCCACCCACACAGTGGGTCTCTGTCCCACACTGCAGCTCTCCAGTTCAGACGACACTACAGTGGCTCGTTCTTGTAGTGTTCTTGCCCTGTCATAACAGTTTTTACTTTAATAACCACTACAGCTGACAATTACTGTCTGTTAATATTTGTTTGTCTCGTATTATTTAGATATTCTGACCGTATACATTTTTTTCCAACTCAAATCCTTATAAAATTACTGTCATATACATAGTACGTTCTAACTTTACTTCTTCATGTTTTGTTAAAGTTAATGCTACATGCAGACGACACAACATATAATGTTCAAAAATAAAAATATGAGGGTTATACGTATATTTCAGCTAGGTTCAAATCTTAAACTAACATCGTATTCCTTACTTCTTTCACTACTGTTCTGACTGGTTCTGGTTCTCATCTCTATGGAACAACGAGTCTTGTCATGGTATTGTAAAATGTTGTGAAAGAAAATTGATGCTCCCACCAAGTATAAATCAGGTTCTGTGATTAAATTTCTTTGGTCCGCCTAGTTGTTAATCGCTATTTAAGTCGATGTACATGAATGGCATAAAGTATTTTGATGTAGAAAATACGAGCAAGGGGTGGAGGGAGTTTGGAGTTGGTCTCAAATATTTGCAGGATGTTTTCCATGGTGTGGGCCGGCTTAATTGTTTATCAGGCCGGAGTTAGGGGAATCGTGGTTTGACTGAATGAGAGAGATTATCAAACTAATATTGTATGTCTCCATAAATTCTTATGGAGGACGATCAGCCCTGGAAGTATGAAACACGCCGATCTGCAAGCGAAGTTTTTCCTCAAATTCAACCACTATAGCAATGGAAACTGATAAACCGGGTCCGCGCTTGAAGTCCGGTTGTGCAATATGTGCTTGCAATCGCGCACTCCTTAAGCTACTCATCCACATTTCCTACGTCAAGCCATTTTTCTCCATACTCATCTGTCAACTGACAATAGTACCGGTACCTATAATTACCTGGTATTGATTCTCATTCCAGAAACCTAAGTGCAGAAAGCAATTTATACTTAATAGGAGAATCAAATTTCTTTCACTAATAATTTCACAATTTTCTTTTTTTATTACAATGACCAATGTAATAATCTTTTCTTAGAGATGGGAATCAGCTGGAATAGTAGTGAATGAAGTAAAGGAACACTATGTTGGTCTGAAGTTTGAATTAGCCGGTTTGGTTGTGACTGGAGCTCAATGAAGATCTAATTTACGGACATGATTGAATAACAATCTTAAAACATTCTGTAACAATCTTAGAAAATTATTTTGTATAAATAATAAATGCTTAATAGATTAAGGATTTTTGTTGATACCTTATTTTTTCAGAGCATGTTGGGAACCATTCTGAGATTCTACTTTCATAATCAACACCCAGCAGACGAATAGATGAGCAATCCTTGGAGAGCCAATCTTTGGGCCAACACAAGCTGTAAGAGGTCTCAGTAGCACACCGACGTAGGTGAGGATCCCTCCTGAATGTGTTGGAACTTTTTACATTCAAGCTTTTGACATCATTTAACCACCTAATTTACATGCGTATACAGCATGTTTAGCCCAGTAGCATGTGACGAAATCTTAAAAATATAATGAAAGGGAATAAGTAAGATGGTAGAACTTATCTGTTATTTCTATAATCCTTTGCAAATATTGCTTTTCTTATAGTTTACAATAAAGTAAATGAAAAAAAACAGCAATGAGGGTGCACAGTGGCGTAAATACATTGAGCGCCCCCACCCCTCCCTGCAGTACATGTGGATGGTGCCCGCCCCAACCACAAAACAACTTATGTTTTACTCATTTTTCTCAGCAAAAGCCGATCATGATCGCGCTAAAATCCATAAACTCTCGCAGATGTCTTTTTTTATCGCCTCCCTCTGTCATGGAAACATTTGTCATCCCAGCCAAATCTCGTATATCATCTGCGGTCTAGAACACATCATCATCGCCTCTCGCAGTCACGGAAACAACATTGTCTTTTCCTTGATTGTGGCATAATCTTGAATATCTTCTTCATTTTGAAGACATCATCATTGTCTCCTAAGATCACGGAAACATGTAATATTTTCCCCCCCAATTGCGGCAAAATCATGAATATCTTCTTATGGAGCAAACCACCGGCATATGCTCAGTCTGCCCGTTTATAAAAGCGGGCCTGTATCAAGTAGGCCTAATAAAAATGTTTTGTAAAATTGTTGGTTTTTATTTGATAATCTCATATTCGATATTGATCGAACATTCAATTTATATTTTTGTTATAATTCATTTGGAAGTTATGTAAACCAATAATTTAGGTACGGTATTTATCTAATTCACTGAGAAGACTACCTAAAATTCAATCTTTTGAAAATTAATTATAGACTCTTGATTAACATAGCTAGAGCATATTATACAGTCTAAATCCAAACTCAATCCATACCCACTAAGAGTAAGAAGGTGGTCACAATATTCTGACTTGCAGTTGACGGGGAAGTCACTGACGACAAACTCAAAGTCACTTCCCGTCTGGTCCCAGTCTGCTGCGGCCAGCTCACTCAGAGCGGTCAGGTACTCCACTGTGTCACTGTCACTGCTGCGTTGCCCACTGTCCGTGGTGCTGGTGATATCATCTTTCTGCAGCCCTTTGTACAAGTAGGATGAAGAATCAAATTATTATCAATTATCAATCATTGAGATGGGGACGCCACCTAGGTGCGTATTTTAACCCAAATATGAGTGAAGGATGAGTGTAGAATGGTGTGTGATGACCTGTGTAGCTTTGTTACTGACGAAGATCAGAGGTTTCATTAGTCAGGATCATTTATTTAAAGCCCAATGATCAGGAACAGCTGGGTCCAGTTTCGAACCATCAAAAAGCTACTGACTTTTCTCAGGATCGAACCGGCGACCTTTTGATTACTAGGCGAGCACTATAACCACTCAGCTACCCAGCCAGTTCAATAAACTATGTCTATAGACAAAACTAAACTTTCCATTTGGCATGTTAAATTTGTATCCAGGTTTTCATAAAAAATTAACGAAGTTTTATTTAGCATATTTAATGTGACACTAATTGTATCAATTGTGACACAATTGTATCAAAAGCCAATAGAGAATATAGATTTTTAACAGAAGCACATTCAGTGAGCGTCTCAATCAACTATGGTTTAACAAATTTCTGTATTTAGTACACTAGGATGGGATGTATACTTCAGAAATCTAAAGTCATCAATAATTATGGTGTTTTTAGACTTCACAAGTATTAGGTAAAAACAATTAAATGTACAAATTTACTCAAAAGCTTGTTCACATGATATAGTCTTTATGAAACTCAATTTCTAAAACAAAAAATCTGGAAATGTTTTTAAGGAATAAACAGTTCATAAAATGCATTTTTGTTGTACACCAGCTTCAAAATGAAAATACAGTACATTTGCTATTGATGTATAATGTTTTGATACCTATGTTTACATTTTTGCTACTGTCTCGTTGCCTCCAAGTGGTCAGCACTCCGCCTAGGAGTCCATGGACAAAGACAACGTCCAGCAGTGGGGCGTGTGAGCGATGTAGTGGATGCAAAGGTACGACGTTGCGGCCGTAGTGGCTCTGCGTGTGATTATCTCGGTCTAGGTTGATGAGGCATTGTCCGGCCAGCACACTCAGTGGCAGGTCTTTACTGTTGACCCATTCTGACAAAACTTTGATCCAACCTGTACACATCATTACATGAATGATTATCATTTATACATCATTGTTGGACTCAGTAAGGGGTTTTTTTAAATAAGTTTTAAAAGAAATTTAATACACATTTGATTCTTTAGAAAATTACTTTTCTAAAAGAATAATTAGTTTTTGCTAATTTCTATATAGGGAAGTAGATAATACCATAGGTGGCACGGTAAGACCTAGTCTCAGGATCGATATACTTTTCATTTTCATGACCCCAGAGGCCAAAAACACTATTTTTTCAAATTTCTATATGTGTATATGTATACATATATGAGTCCCTGATTGCGACAACTCGAGTAATTTTGGTCAGACAAGAGAACCCGCCGCATAGTATGAAAAATAACGCCGAGAAAAACGTTATGCGTACAGTCGAGTAATTCTAGTTACATCTTAGAGTTGTTTAAACACCTGTTAGAAACTAATTTTAAATATCTCTATTTGCGTCGTCAAGGCTCACCTACATCATTTCCGCTCTCTGTTTTAACTGATATTTTCTAATGAATGCTAAACGATCTGCTTCAATTGGAGTTAACATGTTGCAACAAAGTTTTTCCAGCATTGAGAATTGAAGAAAACTGTTACCTTACTGATAACCTGTGTTAATTAATTTAAGCAGGGTAATTTTACACTAATTCCCTCACTTATGTTTTGTCTAATATTGCCACTAAAACTTTCAATAGTAAATGAGTTTTTGAAACATCTTATTTTTGACTTGAAATGTCTGGAATGTGTTGGTGAATTCAGTCAAAAGACTTAGTATAAGTTTGTCAGCGGAACTGGCAACATAACCTAGAAGTAAACAATTCATTTGCGTTTTTTCTCAATTGAAGTAGAGCGAGTGATACAAAAGTTTACAATAAAACATAAGGTTCTCCAAGATTTGGCATAATCTTACTACTTGAACATATCATAGTCAAGGCATTAATATACTTTGTACTATATGTTTTAAAAATATCTCGATCCGGCATAATGGAACAGAACAGAGCTAGTAAGAGAAACTTCATTCGGATATTAGAACAGAACCGGTATGTTTCATAAACATAAACAAATTATGTCATCAGCCAAAAAGTAAACATTAAAAAAAATATTTAAATGCAACTGAAAGAGTAGACATGTACCAATTTTGTTGTCCAAGTTAAAGGGAGGGGGCTTTTTTATGTGAAGTAGAAAAATGTGTGGCAATGCAAAAAGGTAACTTTATCTCAGAATATACTATTTGAAATTATTATACAATTGCAAAAGTTATTTTTACAATAGACAAAGATTCATACCTTCATAAGTAAAAGGCAGGCTTGATCGATATAACTGAAACTATCACTTAAGTAAAGAGAAAATACAAAGAGCGTCCAATGGCAAACATTCCTGTTCATACAACCTGATTCGCAAATCCTAGGAAGAAATTCAGGATGAGTACAAATTCTTGTTAAAATTCTGCACACAATTTTAGTTGAATTTATATCTTCTTTAACGGTTTGATACACTGCCATAAGTAACGGGAGCCCACCAAGTTTCACAAAGTCTGTAATTAGGGAAAGAAGCAAAGCCAATAAAACAATAAGTAGGTTCATTTACAGTTCAATGCCATTGCTTTACTTTATTGTGTTAATTAGGTACATTTAAGTAAAACACTAAATAAATGGTTGTTGTCACTCCTTTAACACCAGATTTAATACATAATTTATCATTGAAACTGAATACAGACAGAACATTAAGTATTCTGCATTTATCCCAAAGCTTAGTCAATGTTTAGGATCTTTTGCTTTATTTAATATTAAATAAAACAAAACTGTAACTTATAAGACAGTCTAAATTGGTTTTATGTGCCATTTGTCTCTAAGAGTGGAAGAGTATGTATACTCTAATAGATACCTAACCTTTTTATTTTGTGACAAATTTTCACTAAAGGCATGGCTATTACTAAGTGGTAAGGTATGGTTCAATGAGTTTTTGTTATGGATCAGATTTAGAATTAAAATACTAAATACAGAGTGAGGCAAAACAGATTAAGCAGTTAGACAAAAATAGTACATGGGCTGTGTAGGTGATACGAGAACACCTTAGGTCTTGTTGTCATCGGTCATTCATACCATTTCAGTAGCCATCATGGTTATACCGGCCAAAATTGAGATTATGTAATGTAGGTGTATTTATAAAAAATGCAACACAAAGGAGACTTTTGCTGGTGGCTTTTTATTCCACGCAATGACACTGCTCTTAGTGGGTGCACAATAAAATCACTGGTGAAAAAGCTTCAAAAAGAGGTAGCACCCTTAAAACTGAGAAACAAGGAACAATAAATATCAGTGACGTTCCGCTATGATGAGGCATGCTACAGTATCGGGAATGTTAGATTGTAGTTGGGGAGTAATTACATAATTAGAACAATATTTTAACCTAAAACAAAATAATGTTGGCCTAAAAATTAAGAGAATCAGACTTTGAAAACGCAGAAACTTGTGTCACAAATGCTTATAAGGAGTTTAATTTGCGCAAATTTTGCAGCATATTGCGAACATCTTGCGGACTGCTTTACCAGAACTGCTGCCCTTACAAACTCAGCACTTTCTAGTGTTCTCACTGATAGTCGTCGTCTGTGTTTCTCAAATTTTAGAGTACTCCCGTTTTCTTCGAGCTATTTGAACAACGTATTGTGTACCGACGAGGAAAGTGTTGTTGTGCAGGGTAAAAATCTGCCAGCAAAAGTCTCTTTGGTTTATTGCAACCAATGATTTGTTGTTTTGTAAATAATGCACACACTATGTAACCTTGGTTCTGTCTGGTCTAAAGCATGATGGCTATTGAAATAGTATCAGTGATTAGTAATAGTGATCAGTAAAAATAGGCTCAGTGACAACAGGACAAAAAATGTCCACCTATTACCTACACAGTCAGGGTACTACGTGAGTCTAACTGCTTATTCCGTTTTTCTCAACACTGTATAATAACTTATAATTTAATTACCAACTTCACTGTTTACACTAGAGAGGTGGTGGTCCAAAGCTTGGATGCAAAGTGGCAGCAAGTTGTCTTGTGTTGTTAAGATTTGCCACGGCTCGGTTAACATTAACTCTGCATCCATCAGGTAATTTTCCTGCTTCTGTTAACACAGACATAGAGAGGTGTACTAATTATAACCATACTAATCGTCGTACTCTTAATCCTATCAGTGGCCTCTTTACCCTTATTTGATTTTACATGCCCAAATGTTTAGCCTCTAGCCTGATGAAAAAAAGAAAAAAAAGGTTTGGGTCAATATAGTACAATCCCGTAGTCAAAGTGCATATTAATAATTACTAATGGTACAGTAGAGTCCCGCAAACTCGGCTTTCGATAACCCGGCAGTCTGGAAAACTTGGCCATCACCTGGCTCAGATAATTAGTGATGTTTTGAGTCCGAGTTGAACATGGACTCAAGCCAGCTCAAGTCAAATCGTTCACAACTCTTACCAAGGATTTGTGGTACTATATCTGACGATTTAATACTGACTTTTAATATAAATATAAATAAAAAAGGCGGTTAAAAAGCTTTAAAATTGTATTGTACTTATTTTTAGCCCTAGTTCCTGATAACTCGGCATTTCACAAACTCGGCACGCTTCCAGTCCACATTACGCCGAGTTTGCAGGACTCTACTGTAGTGCTGAAACACCATCCCTTGTCATCATTTTTATGTCTCTGTAGTCTGACTATATGGACTGATGAGCCACTAGTGAACCAAATAACAAATATCTATATTACTCTTTCACACAACAAAAGGGGTTACAGATACTGTCAGATCTGAATTGCTACCGACTAACAGAGGAGTTCCCCAGGGCTCTGTCCTAGGGCCAGTTCTGTTTGGCCTGTTTATTAATGACTTCCCAGAACACCTTGAGGAGTACAGCAAGATGGTCATGTATGCAGACGACACTGTGCTGCTTACAGCAAACAGAAACATAGATCAACTAGAAGTAAACACCTATATAGCTTTCAATATGACACAGGACTACTGTATGAAAAATGACTTAGTACTCAATGAAAGTAAGACCAAGCAAATTACTTTTGGAAATAAAAAGTCTACAGTATCTGAAATGCCCAACCTGACAGCAGCTGAAGAAATCAAACATCTAGTCATTGAATAATGAATAGTCATTGAATAGTCATTTATTCAGTCTTTAAACAATACATTATTGTAATTGACATCGTCATTATTATTGTAAAGATATAAGATGCGATACTTGTATAATTAATAAAATTAGACATGAAAATTCCAAAATATAGGCTGCCCTTGGTTTATACACTGGTTTATGCACTAGGTGTCATAATTTATGAAAATTTATCCTGGGATCGTCATGTAGCTTGTCTTTGCCAAAAACTCGAGCCAGCTCGCTTTGCCATAAAACGAATCAAAGAGACTAGTACCCCTGAGGCAACGAGGACTGCATACCATACATTGTTTGAAAGCCATATACGCTATGGTATTACTGTCTGGGGTGGATCCACTATGGACAATCTTAACTGGGTCCTGGTTATGCAAAAAAGGGCTATCAGAATAATAGCAGGCATAAGTAAAGAACAAAGCTGTAGAGATGCCTTAAAAAACCTGAACATCCTGACAGTGACTTTTATCTACATCCTAGAAACTGTTTTTTACTGTGTAACCAAAAACCCGCCTAAACAAAGAGATATACATGAATACACCAGATATGCAGGAAACTACGTGCTGCCTGGCCACAGAACAGCAATGTTTGAAACGAAACCACTGTATGCAGGAGTGAAGATGCTTAACAAATTACCAGACCACTTGAAAATTGGAGGCCCGTTGCTGATGAAGAGGAAGCTACGGAGATGGCTGGTAGACAAAGCTTTCTACACCCTAAATGAGTTCTTTGCATGGCAAGACCACACACAACACTGAAGAAGCTTTTCCATTTCACTTTGTATCTGTGAAATTTGACGCTGTAACATTTCTTGATGAAATTGTAATAAAAGAAATTGTCTATTGTCTATTGTCTATTGATAAGTTTCCATAGTTTTTACTGTACTGGGACTTCTTTGCCACCCTGTATGATGTTTATTCAATTGACCTATAAGGGCTATTTTCGTTCAATGGATCTGTGAAACCATGAGCGTTAGTTACTTACAAATTTAAAGTTCATCCATTCTGATGAAGCATATTACATAAGAAGAAAATTAAACTTGACGATTTCATTTAGTAGTACTGTGCAGATCTTAATATAACAAGCTATAGAATACCTCCTCAAGTACAAAAACAAATCCTTCAAACTAAAATATTTTTAACTATAAGCTACATAGGCCTACTTCACCTCATATCCTGGAAAAGCCTTCGAAAGAAAAAACTTTACACACAAATGTCCATGTTGCTGGTTTAGCTTAAACAAGATGTCTCTCATTTCGTTTATCATTTCCTAAAAAAATATACAAGTCGGTTATTAAGATAAAATAATTATTTCAATAAAAAACCCGTAGACAAATATAAACCTTAGACAGCTTTTGGCCTGATCTGAGTTTCCATCCACATTTTTATTTGAAAACTCTGACTTATAGAATCAATAGTAACTTATTAAAATAAATTGTTTATAGAGTTCTATTATATTTTTATCATATAACTAAGAAGTACTCCCTAATAACTTATGTGGCTGTTTCTAAAATTAATTTCTTTAATATGTGGCCATGGGTTGTCATGATTCCAAAACACTCATTCGGTAAACTAACTAAAGTTGACCCCAGACCTGGGTTGAGGGCCAGATTTCCTTTTTAGATCTACCCACAGAACAATCTTTTCTATTAGTTTTCTTATCAATTAGGGTGCAAATAATATTTATTTATATTAAATAACAATAAAAAGTTCAATATCATGAAGGACTTTAACAAAAATTAGTTTTGTCATCAACAAATAGTTGATATTGGTCCATCGCTTACTTCGTTGTAAGCCTATATCGATGATTTATCCATTAGTAGAGTACCTATGTCATTCTTTATACATGATATAAAACACAAAAAAGTTTATAATAAACACACACCAACTCACTTGAAGAGTACTGGGGACTGGGTCAACTAAGGCATCAACAAGCATGTAGAAATTTATGTGTTAAAAAATGCTGCCAGTTGTTTGAAAAAAAAAACACCCATATGGAAACCACAGCAACATCTTATTTAGGGGTTATTCCATTAGACCTACAACTAACAACTAAGTCTATGAAATAAACCGTACATTTGTAACAAGCCATATAGTATGCATGTTGGCGACAACAATGGTTGACGTTAATCCAGTGAGTTCAGACTGCATGTCAGTCAACTATAGTTTAAGCAGGTCCGTGGCAAAAAGCATTCCGTCAACCATAGTTGACACTGATCGGTGGTGGTGAAGAAATTTTTTTAACATATCGTAGCGAAAATTTTTATTTACTTCAGAAAAAAACTCTTATAAAGAATTTTATTTTAACCACCAACATTCTTAGTAATCCCTCTATCTAAATGTAAAAGTTTAGAACTACTTTTCCCATTGACAATAAACCACAATGACAAGGGGGTCTGGTTTGTAGAGATTGTAGAAATTATAGAGAAACATGGGAAATAGGTCCTGAAAATTTTACAGATAACACATAATGAAATTGGCACTAGAGTTTTGCACGGTTGCTTTGTTTATTAGTAATCAGATATAACTCTATATTTAGTAAGTTCTCTTTTTGAGATAAATCAATAAGTATTTAATCTCTTCATCAACAGTTATAAATAAATCTTTAACAAACACTATTATTCTGACCTTCTTGTCTGTTATTTTATAAAGTGATGGCGGACTGAGGAAGTATCCTTGGTCGATGTTCGGACTCCTGGCCAATCCAACTGCAGAGTGGCAGTCACAGGATTGTGCAAGTTGTATCAGATCAGCCGGGGAAAGACTTCTCATGGAGGCTAGCATTCTCACAGCCATCAGCCTAACTTGGGAATCATCAGACTGAGCAACAGCTAGCAGGCGTTGGCTAATGTGATACTTGGTGCGACTCAACCATGCAGCTAGCCTATGACGTCCCAACTGTAGCTCCAGATGTCCATCTGACCCAAGCACTAAACCTAGACATAGATATACAGTATGACTCAGTAGCCAAGCAGACGTTGGCTGATGTGATACTTGGTGCGACTCAACCATGCAGCTAGCCTGTGACGTCCCAACTGTAGCTCCAGATATCCATCTGACCCAAGCACTAAACCTAGACATAGATACATTATGACTCAGTAGCCAAGCAGACGTTGGCTGATGTGATACTTGGTGCGACTCAACCATGCAGCTAGCCTGTGACGTCCCAACTGTAGCTCCAGATATCCATATGACCCAAGCACTAAACCTAGACATAGATACAGTATGACTCAGTAGCCAAGCAGACGTTGGCTGATGTGATACTTGGTGCGACTCAACCATGCAGCTAGCCTGTGACGTCCCAACTGTAGCTCCAGATATCCATCTGACCCAAGCACTAAACCTAGACATAGATACAGTATGACTCAGTAGCCAAGCAGACGTTGGCTGATGTGATACTTGGTGCGACTCAACCATGCAGCTAGCCTGTGACGTCCCAACTGTAGCTCCAGATATCCATCTGACCCAAGCACTAAACCTAGACATAGATACAGTATGACTCAGTAGCCAAGCAGACGTTGGCTGATGTGATACTTGGTGCGACTCAACCATGCAGCTAGCCTGTGACGTCCCAACTGTAGCTCCAGATATCCATCTGACCCAAGCACTAAACCTATAGACATAGATACAGTATGACTAAGTAACCAAGCAGATATGTCTACTTAAGTTCTTCAGACTAGTTCAATAGACATGCAGGATGAGCCCATGTCCAAAGGTAAGGCAAGGGTCATCTTATCACCAACGCTGTCACCCCCAGTGTTCTCCATGATGATGTGTGAGTGTTTCTATATGATTAAATAAGTATGGGCCTGTATTCTGTCCCCGAGAACCATTTGTTAACTGTGTACGTTTCCCAATGCGTTTGTGTCCGTGTTTATGTGAGTTTGATGACGTCCAAGCAACCGACTATAACAGCAATGTGATACTTCTCGACATGACCTACATGAACATGACACTGGGTTAACTCCATGGTTGTAGATTCAATACAACTATTTGGAGCTGTTACGAAAATAAAATGTATTTAAACCACTATAAATATTATAATTTTAATTGTCACATTCAAAGTGAAAGAAGGAAGGAGTTAGGAAAACCAACTTTAATTTGATCTCCCTTTTGTTACATTTTGTCAGCAGTGGCTCTATAAAGCAAAGCCAACTATCTTTAGACCTGCTATAACTTTTACCCAACACAGCCAAAATTTAAAAATGTATTATATTCATGAATATTAAAACAAGCAGATATATGAACTTTCGCAACATTGGCTTCCCTTGATTCTAAAATGATTAATTTTATAACATTATTTGATAAGCTCCCGGATAAAAGTTACAAAATAATTTGAAACCTATAATGAACACAGTTACACACCTGTATCTTGGATGATCATTTTATGTTAGTTAAATTGTTTTTTGAGAACTCACATAATTTAAATGAAAAATTGATTTAAGACAATAGAAATTGTGATCTTTATCTCACCAGGGATGATGTGTGGCAATTACTCAGGAGTAGCTGGTGCTGTTTTAAATATTTACAACTAAAACAGTGTGTCCACAGGGGTACCACATTTTGGTACTAAATTTCCCTGAAAAATGTACAAGATTCCCTACTGTAGGTACAAGATCTCACAAAAGATAGAGTAATGCTACTTTTTGGCTCTCTGTCTGTGTTATACAAGAGAATAACGTTTTTTTAGTGTGGCCTTGGAATAACCAAAGTTTTTTTGACGTTTTTATCCTTGTTGTGGTGGCACCTTGACACGCTCCCATAGAAATACAACCATTAAATTAATCAGGTCTCCTCTCACCTTTAATTTTGTAACATAAAACTTATAGTTCTAATTTTTTGATAGAGAGGAACGCCCTTTTGATAAATTTGACTTTAATCTCAGAAGTGAACACCTACTAGTTATATTCTGACTTTAAATGCAGAATTCTGATTTTTTTTCATAACACAAGTAGACTTCTCATCACATTGTAAATTTTGAAGCTCGTTTTTCGTGTCTAGTTCATGTCCGGTGACACTGACCGCTAGTATCGTCGAAATTCCGTTTCTATTATTTTATTTTAGGGTTGATTTCATTATTTGCGCTATACTGTGTGACTATATAACTAGGAGACCAGACAAGCTATTGTTTATGATAAGATCGTTTTTTTTTTAATTGTTAAACGAAGTTTTAAAAGAAACTAACTGGAATGACAAGAAAAAATTATAAACAAAACATCACCTCTATACAGTTCACCGGGCAGAAATAACAATAAAATTGGCTTCAGCTGTTCCATAAGAATGAAAAATCCACTAAGGATGGTAGTACATTATTGCTCATTCATTTATTTTATTTAAGCCGGTAATTAATTTATGTTTATAAAATTACATAGTATGGTCTTTACAATTCAACCAAGAGATGAAAATCCGGAGTTACCAACTGTTATTTATAAACTTTAAAATCCCCCAAACTGCATGTATTTTTCAATTTTTATAAAAACAGATTTTGAGGGAAAATGTACAAGATTCAGTGAACAATGTACTAGGGTACAAGAAAATATCAAAATGTACTAGATCTTGTACAATTGTACAAGCTGTGGACACACTGAACTAAAATAAAAATAAAACCAAGAATAAGGGTGCTTAGGGGTCTTAGCCTAACTGTTTGTCCATCTTTGACATTCAGTTTCCAAATTGGAATATATAGTAGGCTACCTTATTTTTTAAGCTTCAAAAAATTGTCAGACGACATAAAAATATGAACTGATGTATGATTAGTTCTATCTATAGGCCTACTATACTACTGTATGCTATTCACGTATTCAAAAATTAAAATATTAATACAACACTATAGGTAGTTAATACCTTTGGTTATATTTTCACTAATTGTGATATACTTAGCTCCATGGTGTATCATTTCACTTCTACCTATGGTTTTCAGATTATTATATGTGGCGTTGACTTCGAATAGTAACCATCCTAGGCTGAAAAAGGGAAATTAAAGTTCCTATTTGTGAGAAAATTACATGACAATTAATTTAAAAATAACTGTCCAATACAGTACCTACCTATTATTTTGTCTGTGAAAAATAAAATACTATCATTGTTGATGTCTCAAGTGCTTTCCTTCCCATTTCTATCAAATGCACGCCAAATACATAAATTAGAGGAAGAACAAAAATAGTATGGATGGGGTCTGTGCATTTACTTGAGTTAAACATTAAATCATAGAATACTAGGTGAAAGGTGAAACCCAGCTTCACACAGGTCGGCTAGTCTGGTCATAGTATAATAAACAAATCTTTTCTCCATAAGAATAACATGGAAAGGGAACTTCAAAGGCCTCTGGGGCAGAGCTCCAAGGGAATTGACTCAGTTTCTCTGTTGATGACTCTACAGACCAAGGCCTTTCTTAGACACCTCTACCAATAAGCTCAGCTGTTCTATCAAATAGTGGAAATAAAACAAACAATTTCTTCCCTCCATAAGATTAACATGGGAAGGGAAATTTAAACTTTTAGTTTTCCATCTCTTACTTGTATATTATCGATTTGATCGAATTTGCACAAACATTGAACATTCATAAATATTTATCCTACAAAGACATGGACATGTAATTCCAATGTTTGAATAAACAAAAAAAGAGTTTCCAATAAAATAAATATATGGATTCTAGCTAGGTACCACATATATAATTATCCATTGTAGAAATATAGAAGGTATAGAAATACTGGTATTAAATTCATTTTGGTCTATTTCAAAGAGCTTAGAACTCGCAATATCACTAGTAATATCTAATATAGTATACATTTTGATATTTAGTAATCTCTGACACCTACTGCCGTTGTAAGCAGTAGATGTAGCCTGTAGCCTAAATTGAATCCCACGAATCATGAAATGAAATACAGGATGCAAAATGTACACAAAATACACATTATTTGTTTAAATTCAGTAACAGAAATGTTAATAAATCACTGAATGCAATATTAATTAGAGACTATTATGGATCTTACTTTCCTTGCCAAGAACAAGATATAACTTTTGTGCCTCACTTGTTGAACTACCTTATTGATTGAAATATACATTGAATGTAGTATCGTAACTTAGGCCTACCTAGTGACAACTATTGTGGTCCCAAGAGGTTTTACATATCCTGCAAGTAACAGTTTTCCACCACGCATCACACTGTAATTTAGGTTTTGATAACACTAAAACAATGGCAAATTTCTTACTAAATACAAGTTTGAGTGTAATCAGAGACAATTAAAAATACTTGAATTCATTTAACATCAAAGTTTGTAAATATGTTTATAAAATTAGGCTCACCTGATTTATACTGAACTATAAAATGTCAAAATCAATCAATAATGTGTGTGCTTACATATAATTGATTATATACATACCTCAGTGTACTGTAAACTGTAATACAAATTTTAAATTAAGGAAAATTTGTTTATTCAAACAGGCAAAGTTACAGTCACATAACCTGTAGATACGAAAATGCAACATAAACATGTTAACAATAGGAATCAATTTACAATATACAACGGGACGAACTATTTGAGTATTGCGCAAAGTACAATAACTTCGTGCGTCATTGCGGGGCCAACGTAAACCAACGTAGTTTACGTTGGCCGCGGTCATTGCCGCTCGAGAACTGAAGATGGCCGCACGAAGCTTAGCCTAATGGCGGCAATGACTGTTTGTGCTTGTAAACACCCAAGATTTGTTCTACTACCATAATAATTTAACTTATTATAAGTGAAAGCTTCATTTTCATTTATGAAAATCATCTTCATTTTCAGTTCGGCTACGTACCCTAGCTAATCAGGTTGAGAAGCCAATTTCTCATCGGCGGGCGACCCCTCTTCATAATATCATTAGATTGGGCAATCTATATTGAAAATTTCTATAAAAACTCCTCAACTAACTCATAATGTGTAGCATCTGTTGAGTGTTGACCAGCATTGTTATGACGCGTTAGCTACTGGGATCGCGGAACGTCGCAACAATGGGGTCGAGGAACAACCTGCGGAACATCGCGGAAAACTACGAAACATTCATGTATTTTCTCGATACATTTAGTTCAATATAAGTGTAGGCTATAATATTTTGCGATAAACGACTCTACGTTTTTAAACAGTAGTATTTATCCTATTATGCTCTTGAGTTTATTCTATGATCAATGGTACTCATCTGAATGTTCTTTTATGTACTGTAGATGATTTGTTACATGATTAATTTAGCTGCATTTTCGCACGAAAACTATTTTCATAAAATGTCATAGCTACTTGGCAGATAAGAAATACGGTACATTAAAAATATTAAAATGTCATTCAAAGTTTGTAATGGAAAACGAATTTTCCAAGAAAAGAGCCTAGTATAAACATTGTTTCTATCCTAAACAATTTCGATTAAATAGTTTGAGCAGTTTTTTAATCATTGTTGCGAGCAAACGTTACTCATATTATAGTGGTATAGGATTTAAAGGATTTTGTTTTACTTACCATACTTGTTTATTGGTTTCAATTTCAAACAAATCTCGCTTTAATACTTTTCTTTGAAATGGCGACCATACAAAGTAGGTATTTTAAGCCAAGTATGAATGGAGATGAGTGTAGAATGAGTGGCGCGATCTTTTAGTCTTTTTAGTGACTAAGGCCGACATATTCCTTAGACACAGCTGTTAATTAATAGCCCATACAGCTAATGGCAACTAAGGGACCTAGTTTATAGTGGAATCCGAACCACATTTTTTCTTGGTATATACGAATTGGCCTAATTATCAGGATAGCTCTGCGGATAGTCGTAGTACTCACTCGTGCGGACGTTAATCCACACCAGGGAGTATCACATTCACAGTGCATGCCTATAAATATCCACAATTCGTGACCTCCTAGTAGCTGGATTACAGGACGACGCCACCCGTCTCAGTCATATAGGTAGGTATTTTAAGCCAAGTATGAATGGAGATGAGTGTAGGATGAGTGGCGCGATCTTGTTGTAGTCTTGTGGCTAAGGCCGACATAATCCTTAGACACAGCTGTTAATTAATAGCACATTAGCTAATGGTAACTAAGGGACCTATAGTTTATAGTGGAATACGAACCACATTTTTGCCTTGGTATTAACGAATTGGTCTAATTTTCAGGATAGCACTGCGCATAGACGTAGAACTCACTAATGCGGACGTTAATCCACACCAGGGAGTATCACATTCACAGTGCATGCCTATAAATATCCACAATTCGTGACCTCCTAGTAGCTGGATTACAGGACGACGCCACCGTCCAAGTCAATAGCCAATAATGGACTCATTGGAAGAGGTATAGTAACATACATAACATAACCGCTAGTTTAATATAGTTAGGTAAAGGACGCTAAACATTAATATCCCAGGATTTCTGTATAAATATTGAACCACCTGAAATGTTTACTGGGAAACAATTAGTGAGAGGGACTTTGCAGCGGCCAATTATACACTAAGGCACCTGTTAGTGTGGGCTGTACGCCAGCTACAGACTCCTACTCTGACTACAGACTGTGTAGTACAGGGCAGTACCTTCCCCGACTCTAGTGGTGTATGTATCTACAGCTACACTGAGTGACGTCACGGTGAGTCCACATCACTATACAACAGATTACCAAACACACCTCCTAGACAACATGTGATGCAACATTACATTTTACAAAGTTTATTTTTAGAATCATGCTGTGACTGACTACTAAACAAACATATACTGTAACAAGTTAGAGCATTGTAGGAAATATGGTCAAAATGATTGTGTTTGGAAACTAAAATCTATTGTAACTAAATTTATTAGATTATTGGCGTAGGCCAACTTAGTGTTTAATTCGCTGTAATAACGTAGGTAGATCATAAAGAGTAGTAAAAAATGAATATGTTAATTTTTAGCGCCAGTATAATGTATATCGTTTTATCTATAAACTTATAGAATTTTTTTATAAATGTAAAATTAATTTACTAACTTATAGTATCTATATGAAGAATCCATACAAATAGATTTCAATTGCATTGCTAAATTACTAAGTCGATCAACTTAATGGTTACAACACTGCCCATTTATTAAACGCTTCGAGTCATCTTTTGGCAGGCGTTTGAAGGTCACTTTTAACTGGCGAACAATTGTCACTGAACAGTGCGTTTGATATTGATGTAATATTAATAGACTTAGTTTTTGTGTAAAAATTGTGAAAACAGGTTTCCGTTATTAAATAACACAAATATCTTAAGATGAAATGAAAATAATCCTGGAACTATATGCCTCAATTGGTCGTGCTTTATTGTTGAATTTATCCAAATTGAAGCGAATGATTTATTTGGCAAAGAAAATAAGATAAAATTATGTGTGTGTTAATTTATTAGGATAACAGGAGATATGCTTTTTGGGTCTGATGACAGTTGGGTTGGACTATTAAATCGTGCAATTGTAAGTACCGGGTATGCTGAAGTCTTATTGTTGAAGTGAAGCTATTGAGAGTGAACACTTTCGAAGTGTTAACTAGGCGTTTTCCAGTCAAAATAACATTTGAGGTTACAATGACAAAAATTCTAAATAAATTTTAGTTGACATTGTTAATGTTAACAAACATTGTGGTATCATTAAACATAGACAGAACATCTATTTAACATCAATATACTAGCCAGTATGGTATGAATTGGAAAATGACTAAATCCTATATTCTAATAGGCAAGCATGTTTGAAATTTTTTTTCTCAGTTGCTTCGCAGGGAAGATTTACGCATATTTGTTAGAAAAATATTTTCCTGTAGATGTGCAGAATCCCCTTATAAATTAAATATGCTCACAAGCATAAAAATTGAATTTAAAATTAAAAAAACATGGGCTTAAGGGTTGTTATGATAAGACGAAATAACACCGAAATATAAACAAATGGAAGAAATTCCGTTCACATGTTTTATTTACAGCGAGTGTTGTAAATTGCCATAGTAAAATTCCCATAATAAATTCAAATTCCACTGAAACGTAAATAATAATAGCCAAAATTAGTTCTTAATAAAAAGTGAGTTTCCTTTATATTAATTTTTAAAATGGAAATAAACTACACCGAGCCATGGCTTGGCTCCCAGGTGCTATTTATTAAAAGGCTACAGCATACATACAACAATAACAGTGTACATACCATATAGATTGTTGTTGTACGATCAGTTCTACTTCCCAGAGGCGCGAGCCACTGGCCAGCCAACATGCCACGACCACGGCCACTGTACTGTCCTTCACCATCTACATGCACCGTCATAACATGCACTGTTCAGGCTACACACAACAATAACATTGTACCATGTAGAACAACAACTTGGCTACAATCAGTTCTACTTCCCAGAGGCGCGGGCCACTGGCCAGCCAACATGCCACGACCACGGCCACTGTACTGTCCTTCATCATCTACATGCACCGTCATAACATGCACTGTTCAGGCTACACACAACAATAACAGTGTACCATGTAGAACAACAACTTGGCTACAATCAGTTCTACTTCCCAGAGGCGCGGGCCACTGGCCAGCCAACATGCCACGACCACGGCCACTGTACTGTCCTTCATCATCTACATGCACCGTCATAACATGCACTGTTCAGGCTACACACAACAATAACAGTGTACCATGTAGAACAACAACTTGGCTACAATCAGTTCTACTTCCCAGAGGCGCGGGCCACTGGCCAGCCAACATGCCACGACCACGGCCACTGTACTGTCCTTCACCATCTACATGCACCGTCATAACATGCACTGTTCAGGCTACACACAACAATAACATTGTACCATGTAGAACAACAACATTGTTGGCTACAATCAGTTCTATTTCCCAAAGGCGCGGGCCACTGGCCAGCCAACATGCCACGACCACGGCCACTGTACTGTCCTTCACCATCTACATGCACCATTATAACGTGCACTCTTCAGGCTACATACAACAATAACAGTGTACCATGTAGAACAACAACTTGGCTACAATCAGTTCTACTTCCCAGAGGCGCGGGCCACTGGCCAGCCAACATGCCACGACCACGGCCACTGTACTGTCCTTCACCATCTACATGCACCGTCATAACATGCACTGTTCAGGCTACACACAACAATAACAGTGTACCATGTAGAACAACAACTTGGCTACAATCAGTTCTACTTCCCAGAGGCGCGGGCCACTGGCCAGCCAACATGCCACGACCACGGCCACTGTACTGTCCTTCATCATCTACATGCACCGTCATAACATGCACTGTTCAGGCTA